AAGTCTCTGGTGTAAATCTTCACTGGCTTTGGCTAGTGTGCAATTTCTAAGATGTTTACTGTAATTGTCATGATTTCAGTTTTATTGTCTGTATGTATGGTGATTCCTCCAGCCCATTGTGTCTTTTTGTTCTCTATTTCTTTTTTAGGATTTCTCTTGTTGGGGTCGTCGCTATAACTATTGAGTTTCATGGTTTGTACGATACTCTCGCCGAGTGACCTTTTGGTATGCAGAAAGAGAGAGAGAGAGAGAGAGAGAGAGAGAGAGAGAGAGAGAGAGAGAGAGAGAGAGAGAGAGAGAGAGACGGGACCACGTGGGAGAACACCGGGTGAGGTGTCGTTTTAAGCAACCCTTCGCTTGTATTTCTTCTGTTTCAATTATCTGTTAGATTCATTCCTGATATCCAATTACTGTAATTGTTTCTGGACTGTGACTATATTAAGGTATCTTGTAAAGACCCAGAGACTGGTGGTACCCTAAAGTCCGAAATATTGCGTGCAAATACCGGTTTCCTCGACTGACTGCTCGCATCAACAGTCGATTGCAGTTCTGGTAGGAGGGGGCTAGTGTTAGCACGTCTGACAGCTGCCTTATGTTTTTTTTTTTTTTTTTTTTTTTTTTTTTGGCGTGTGCGAGCTTCAAGATTTTGCCGGGACTAATATGTTTTTCACAGTTTTTTTTTTAAAGGACCATAAATGAGACTTTTAGTGTGGTTTGCACTGGCACAAGAAACGATTTAGAACTCGGAAGACCAGTTTACAGGGATATTAAAACCTTGAATAACAACTCTAAAGTACAAAGATTCTGTGACATAAAGTGTTGGCCGGAGAATGAGTTACATCAGGCATTTTTGAGACAAGCCAGACTTCATAATTAATTAACAGACCTCGTAAAAACATGAGTGCAAAATTAGCAAATTACACGAAAGTTGACACAAGCTGCCAGAAAGTATAACCGTGATAACAGCTGCCTCTCATTTATGTCTGACTGTTGTCGGATACAACAGGATCTGCTTTCAGTGAAACAAATGTATGCATGGATATGTATGTGTGTGTGGATGTGTGTGTGTGTGTGGAAGAAAGAGTGTGTGTGTGTTTGCGTGCGTGCGTGCGTGTGTGTGTGACGAATAGGCGTTGTTTTAATGATTACTGCAGCATTTGAGACGTGCTAAGAGTTCCTAAATGTCCCTGCCAATTAAACATGTACCATCCCGGTAATAATACTGTTGTTTTGTTTGACAGCTTAGTGACTCGCTCTCTCTCTCTCTCTCTCTCTCTCTCTCTCTCTCTCTCTCTCTCTCTCTCTCTCTCTTAGGGTGGTTAGAATATATATATATATATATATATGACACATTTATAGGCTATCACATACAGTCACCCTAACAAAAATAAACATCACATACACAAGCATACAGTGTTGTGAAGTGTGGTGTAGTTGTAGTGACTGTAACGTGGCGACGTAGAGAGTAACATTTGTGTGACTGTAACGTGGCGATGTAGAGAGTAACATTTGTGTGACTGTAACGTGGCGACGTAGAGAGTAACATTTGTGTGACTGTAACGTGGCGATGTAGAGAGTAACATTTGTGTGACTGTAACGTGGCGACGTAGAGAGTTACATTAGTGTGACTGTAACGTGGCGAGGTATGCATGTAACAGGTGAATTCACCGTTTACACTTTCCACTGTTAAAGACAATTTTTTGACTGTTTATTACGACGGTTTACTCATCATAATGTAGCAGGCCCATTGCAGAACGTCGCTCTCATCACGGTCTGCCTGACAGAAACTCGCTTTCACCAGCTCTCCTACCTTGTGCACTTACTCGAGGAGTCACTTATATCCTGTGCCCATCTTCGTGTCGGTCGGCCCCTGCCCCTCCTTCCTGGTACCATGCCTTCTGCTATAATTTGTTCCAATCCGTCGTGGCGCTTGATATGGCCAAAATATTTCATGTTTACTAGTTATTACAAATACGACAATCGGTTTACTTCTTGACTGTGGCGAAAAGAACCTCGCTGTATCTTACGACATTTATGCCTCAACTTTAATATGTGAAATCCACTAGCTGCTATTACCAACGAACGAACGAATTTTATTTTCTTGCTCAATTTATTCTTTATTTTTTCTTATTTTAATTTTTTCTTCTTATTTTATAACTACAATGCTAGCTGCTCACACAATTCTTAACTGCAAAGCGGAAGTTTTAAAAAAATCACTTGATACCCTCTCCAGTGTACTCGTTATATGCAAACGTTTACACGTGAGAAATGATCACATCTCGCCATTGGATTGCATGTGTTTTCCTGGAACATCATAGCTGTATTTGTGTTGTGTTCAGTGAGTGCCCCGTCACTCGCCTATAACTTCGACACAGAAAACTGGTTACAGTTAGCAGATGGATAGAAGCAAGATATTTGGTGAAGTCTTTAACATAAAATTTGTAAGACCGATGGCAATGACCCTGACCCTGGTCCTACTTTCCGCCAAGTTGCCTGGTTGTCCGGCGCTTATCGTGGCCAGATTTCATTAGCACTGACGGCCGTTTCGACAGTAATTGGTTGATGTATCCGGCGACATTGTACAACCAACGTTACCAGGATGCCTTCTGGTTACTGTCAGTGAGGTTGCCAGACTGCTGATGGAACACCCAGTGTAATCACCAGCGACTAGGAGACAGCGAAGTCATTCCAAGACACTCGCAGTTAACCCCGGTTAGTTGAGGTCAGGCGCGCTGTCATGACAAAAACAGGGCAGAGCCTTCACCGGAGACATTTACTAGACACAGAAGGCCCTAAGGGGAAACTGTTGGGGGGGGGGGGACTGGGGTGGTGAGACCTCTTTAGACAAACCCTGTCCTCACCCTTAAAAAAAATTAGGACAGCATTATTATGGTTAACCATGTCTTTTTCACCACTTTACACATTTTTTAGCCAAATAATGAAGTGTGGTCACAGATCCTTAAGTGCCCCCCCCCCCCACTAAATATGAGAAAAGTACCGGTCTAATTTTCTTTTTTCTCCACCAGTCAGGTTCGGAAGGCTAGCTATTAGGGAACTTGGGCGGTCTAATCATACTGTAAGTTTATTTACACTGGGTCCCAGACCATCAATGATTTTTGTCCACCTGTCCTGGTACCAAAGCATGTATACACGCTAAACCCCCCCCCCCCTCCCCCCCGCCAGTAGCCAGCAGCAGTAGAATGTAGGTCTAACGTGTCTCTGCCATGGTAACAATGAACCCTCTCCCCGCCAGTAGCCAGCAGCAGTAGAATGTAGGTCTAACGTGTCTCTGCCATGGTAACAATGAACCCTCCCCCCGCCAGTAGCCAGCAGCAGTAGAATGTAGGTCTAACGTGTCTCTGCCATGGTAACAATGAACCCTCCCCTCCCCAGTAGCCAGCAGCAGTAGAATGTAGGTCTAACGTGTCTCTGCCATGGTAACAATGAACCCTCCCCTCCCCAGTAGCCAGCAGCAGTAGAATGTAGGTCTAACGTGTCTCTGCCATGGTAACAATGAAACCTTACAACACTATCCACAACATTACTGGTCGTCTGAACTTGAACTCATGTACAATTGTAGCCAAGTGAACATGAACTAACGTACAATTGTAGCCAAGTGAACATGAACTAACGTACAACTGTAGCCAAGTGAAGAGCTGATGGATAGCTTCAAGTGCCATGATAACCCAAGAACGTTATTGCTGAACCCATGCTGTCCAAGACAGTTACCACAGACTGCATGCTGTCCCAGATAGTTGTTGTTGACAATCTCAGTTGTCAGATTTAATCCCACTTAATCAGACAATTAGTGTAGGAGAGCAAGTGACTGGCACAGACAACCCCCTGTGATGTCGCCTGTTATTTCAGTGGCAAGTCGATTTATGTGCGGGGAGTTCGGCTTGACTGTCACAGAAAACCTGGCAAATACCCCTGACGGAGAAGACGAACAATAACGACATTCTAGAAGATTCTAACATGTTGGAAACTAGTCCATACAGAATTTTAGTCCCAGAAACTAAAACAGGTCGGTAATATTTGAACGCTATGGTTTTTTTGTTAAGCATAATGAAGTCATGTTCGCAAAAGTTGAACGGTTTACTCTCTCTCTCTCTCTCTCTCTCTCTCTCTCTCTCTCTCTCTCTCTCTCTCTCTCTCTCTCTCTCTCTCTGTGTGTGTGTGTGTGTGTGTGTGTGTGTACAGAACGAGACTACCGAGTGTATCACACATGGCACAAACTCCATGCTTCCATCGACGACCCCCAGGGATCTCCGTATCAAAGGCACACATGAACCAAACCGCACAGTCCATGCACCGAACCCATGAACTGTAGAGGGTGTGGCAGACAGTTGAACTACTTCACCAGAGAGATGCCATCACCCCTCCCCCCCCCCCCTTCCCTGTATGTGTAACAGTGACCAGACATGCATGTAACGGCTGTAATTGTGTGGCTGCCATGGCAACAATCAACACTTATACTACTACCCACAACGACAGATGTATCAAGTAAGAGTATGTATGGTAAGAGTATAAAACACAGGAGAACAAAGCTCGCTGCATGCTTACGCTACCAGTTACCACTGCTTCGATGCAAGCTGCACACAACCACACACACATACACATTCTCTCAGCAGCGAAGCGACAAAAAAGAAAACTATCACGCGACACCCTCTCCAGTGTAATCGTTACCTGTTAACGTTACACATGCGACTTGATAATGCTTCGCCACTGCACCATATGGTTCCTGGAAGAAGGGCAGGGGTCGACCAGTAGGATGGTGGATATAGGGCATTAGAGACACCGGGTATCAGGGACACCTGATATTAACATACAATCAGCAGGGGAAAAGCAAGAACGGAGGGTGCGTTCAGAGGCCTGTTATGAGAGCGACGTTCTTCGAAAATATAGTGCTTAAAGGCAGGATGATCTATTTAGGCAAAATCCCTGCAACGTGTTGATGATAAGCATGCAGCGAGGAAATAACTTAAGTGAAATTTACTCACGTGAGGGCGCTTCCATTCAAAGGGCCTGGGGGGAGCTCGGCTGAAGAAAATGGAAGAATCCACACAGGGAAACTCAGGGTCCTCGAATAGTATTCCTTGCTGCTTACATTGGGTCTTGATCTCGTCGTAATTCTGCAGCTTGAGACCCACAAATGGGTTCTTCCTCAAGGTCCTACTGGGTCGCCCAGCAATCTTAGGCTGGGGGTCAGAAACCGGGACAGTAACAGTCCTAGGCGCCGGACCCCCGCCGCCCCCACTTCTTGAACTAGGACTGGGGCGGGTGCCCCCTCCACGCCCTCCAGTGCTGATACTTGGCCTCAATCCCCCGCTGCCGATGTCAAAGTTAAGGCCCTTACCCCCGAATGTGTCTCCAAAGTCAACGTTGAACTTGCCCCCAAAGTCTCCAAAACCTTTCCTCCCAAAATCACCGAAGTCACCAAATCCCGAAGACGGGCTGAACCCGATGCTGCTGCTGCCAGGTCCACCTAAGGTGTAGGTTTTCGTGTCCACCTTCGGGGCACCCGTTCCATCATCGACATAAGTGCGGACCGTGCGAGTGCTGTAGTAATTAGACATGCTGGAATTTTCCGTCAGAAAACTTTTCCTCAGTTAACTTCCACCTTGCAAATTCTCCTACTACAAACTTTAACTGTGCACACTTTCCTGCTAAAAACTCTCACAGTAAATTGTCCTACCTCAAACTTTCACTTAGTCAACTTTCATGCAATAAATTTTCCCGCGAGAAATGTAAAAGAATGAAGATTGTCTATTAGGATGACTACACAAATGGAGCGGATATGGTAAGTTGTTTTCCCGAGTGGCGCTACCGATCAGCAGCAGAAGGCGGGAACCAACAGTGTGCTAGCCGCTTCGTGAAGTCGGCTGAGTGATCTTGATTCAGACAGAAAAGTGCTGGGAGTTTCTCCAAGGGCAGTGACTTCAGCAGCGGAGATGGGAAGTCGGCAGGGGTGAGAACAGGGAGGAAGTATCCACAAAATCCGGTGGGGCAGTGTGCAGCAAAGACGAGCGATGTGCTCCACTTGCACCGCCATTGTTTCACCCCTGTTTGGTGGCAGCTCCCAGTTTGTGCGTGCTGCTCATTCTCCCCGTCTTCACAACATACTTGTCCTCTCCTTTTCCTCCATGGCAAATACCTGCCCTTGCTGGAATGTTGCTACTGCTAGTCTAGGGGCGCCACTATCTGGGAGCTCGCACAATTTTTCTTAGAAGATGGGGGCCTGGAAACCCCCTCTCCCCTCTATAATTGTAGGAGGGAATGAGGGCTCAGCCCTCCGTCTTCCTCCTTTAAAAATATAGGTTAGTTTTAAGTTAGTCTCTCCAAACAAAGTAGTTCACGTTTCATTTACAAGTTTGTTGAACTGGTCTACTTTCCTGGAGTTTACGGGTGTCCCGCTCTGTTGTTAGCTTTCTAAGTTGTCTTTATTTACGTTTGTATTCATAGAAAAAGAATGCATGTGACCTAGGTTGCAGCATTCTCTAGGGAGGTTATGTTAGACCCAGTTACTCCATGTTTTTTTTAGTTTTAAAAGTGCTGGCTTGTTGAAATATACAACACGCGATAGCAACGGCATTGCGGAACACCCCGAAATCTTTCTCCAAGGACACGTGGCTCAAGGTCATCCAATCAGAAGTGAGATAGTGTGTATATGGGAGGAATCTGGGAAACGAAACACTATTTTTACCCAAATGTACACGTGCTGTTTGCCCGCCTCCTCCCCTTCCCACAAACCAGGTATTGACGTTCCCTGTTTAAGTATGTGTTTATACTTTTTATATGATTTCAAACATATTTATTTGTTCTTCATTTGCAATTAAACAGATTTAATTAAGCCCTTATGCTCCCGACACCTAAAAAATATAAGTAGGCTGGGCCATCCTCTCCCCCCTGCCTCCATGATTTCTTTGTGGGAGTGCCCCTGAGTGCTACTTTTACTACCATAACAACTACTGTTACTATTGCACTACTACTACTTCGATCTTTACATCAACTACTATAACCTGCTAATACTGCTGCAACTACTACTACTAATATTACTGCAACTACTGCTATTGTTACTACTACTAGTAATCTTACCACTACTCATTATTATGGTTAACCATGTCTTTTTCACCACTTTACACATTTTTTAGCCAAATAATGAAGTGTGGTCACAGATCCTTAAGTGCCCCCCCCCCCCCCCCACTAAATATGAGAAAAGTACCGGTCTAATTTTCTTTTTTCTCCAGAGAGAGAGAGAGAGAGAGAGAGAGAGAGAGAGAGAGAGAGAGAGAGAGAGAGAGAGAGAGAGAGAACAACACTGCTAGTAGGTGGTGCCAACAAGTGAAACAGACTTTAGTGCAGTCTTCATACCAGAGAGAGAGAGAGAGAGAGAGAGAGAGAGAGAGAGAGAGAGAGAGAACAACACTGCTAGTAGGTGGTGCCAACAAGTGAAACAGACTTTAGTGCAGTCTTCATACCAGAGAGAGAGAGAGAGAGAGAGAGAGAGAGAGAGAGAGAGAGAGAGAGAGGGAGAGAGAGAGAGAGAGAACAACACTGCTAGTAGGTGGTGCCAACAAGTGAAACAGACTTTAGTGCAGTCTTCATACCAGAGAGAGAGAGAGAGAGAGAGAGAGAGAGAGAGAGAACAACACTGCTAGTAGGTGGTGCCAACAAGTGAAACAGACTTTAGTGCAGTCTTCATACCAGAGAGAGAGAGAGAGAGAGAGAGAGAGAGAGAGAGAGAGTGTGTGTGTGTGTGTGTGTGTGTGATGTGAAGTAGATCCTCTGCTAAGGTCACGCAGAGGTCGGAGGTCATGAGACAGCTTATATACTCCACTCATTCACTGTCCCGTTGTGCCATTATGTCACACAGTGTTGACAGTCTATTCCTTTGTTCTACCCTGTGTATTCACTTCAATATCATGGACAGAATCCAGTTCAGAAATTCGGACTTCTCTCATCAATTTTAGTTGTAGGGATTCTTTTGGCTATCTTAACCTCTTTATTTCCCATTTCAGTGACTGTTTGGTAATTCTTTGCTCTTTTTTCCCGCTTAGATTTACTGCAATACTGAATTATAATCATGGATCTCATCTCTGACGGGACACAGGATGGATACATGTGGTGTCATCCACAGGATACATGTGGTGTCATACATAGGATATATGTGGTGTCATACACAGGACACATTTGGTGTCATACACAGGATATATGTGGTGTCATAAATGACAGGAGAAGAGAAAGCAGACACACCTCTAAGAACCAGTGGTGTACACTGTTATAGTGTTAGGCTGTGTACACCAAACTTGGCATCTCAGTATTAGGCTATGTACACCAAACTTGGCATCCCAGTGTTAGGCTGTGTACACCAAACTTGGCATCTCAGTGTTAGGCTGTGTACACCAAACTTGGCATCCCAGTGTTAGGCTGTGTACACCAAACTTGGCATTCCAGTGTCAGGCTGTGTACACCAAACTTGGCATCTCAGTGTTAGGCTGTGTACACCAAACTTGGCATCTCAGTGTTGGGCTGTGTACACCAAATTTGGCATCTCAGTGTTAGGCTGTGTACACCAAACTTGGCATTCCAGTGTTAGGCTGTGTACACCAAACTTGGCATCACACTTGTGCCAACTCTCAGGTGGATGGGGTGCACTGGGTAAGGAGCATACTTGGCTAATCCTAGTACAGAGCTATTCAACTGGCAGCCCGCATCTGGCCCACGAATTATTGCCAGTTGTATTATATTCATGATTTGTTCATGTTAGGGTTCGAGTCTCTGGCCAGTAATGATCCTTATTTTCGAACCTTTGGCCCCCCTGATAAACTCAGTTAAATAGCCCGGTCCTAGGAAGAGGAAACCTAGCCTGAAAACTTTATGTTATGGCAGGTCAGACATGGCACTTAGCCCTGGCTGGCAGCTGGTATTGCAAGAAAGATTCGACAGCAGAGCCTTGCTCTTCTGCAGGTGGCTTGGCTTCAAACATACTGGTGTTACTTTTCCTTTGGTGAGGGATTAAGCTGCATGGACAATACATGGTCTCTACAATACTGCCAAGAAATCGTGCAATGGGATGATTCTTCTAAACGTCAGCCGGTCTTGCTGGTCACATTCGCTATCGCCATGGGCTGTGATTCTCATACCTCCATACAGAACAGTAGAACATTATCGTCTGGACAGACGGACTGATGCTAAACAATTTAAACCAAGTTCTACACTGGTTTCTGTCAGTATCAAGTCCATCACAACAGAGTGTGGTCACACAGACCACGGGCAACACAGAGTGATCACAGCTTCAGAATAAGATTGATTAACATTCAACACTTATTTTCAAAGACATTACAAAGAGATTCAGGTAATCAAAACAAGGTTTTTTAACTTTATATAAAAAAAAAGTAATCTGCCACAGTGTGACTGTCAACCAACAGTACTTAACTATGACCTTTAAAGGAAGATCACTAACCATGACCATCAACATATCACTGACTATGATCTTCAACAGAAGATCACTGACCATGACCTTCAACACAAGATCACTGACCATGATCTTCAATTGGAGATAACTGATCATGACCTTAAATGGTAGATCACTAACCATGACCTTCAACAAAAGATTGTTCACCATGACCTTCAACAGAAGACCACTGACCATGACCTTCAACAGAAGACCACTGACCATGACCTTCAACAGAAGATCACGGACCATGACCTTCAACAGAAGATCACTGACCATGACCTTCAACAGAAGATCACTGACCATGACCTTCAACAGTAGATGACTGACCATGACCTTCAACAGAAGATCACTGACCATGACCTTCAACACAAGATCACTGGCCATGACCTTCAATTGAAGATCACTGATCATGACCTTAAATGGTAGATCACTGACCATGAACTTCAACAAAAGATTGTTTAACATGACCTTAAAAAGAAGATCACTGACCATGACCTTTAACAGAAGATCGCTTACCATGACCTTTAACAGAAGATTGCCGACCATGACCTTCAACAGAAGATCACTGACCATGACCTTCAACAGAAGATCACTGACCATGACCTTCAACAGAAGATTGCTGACCATGACCTTCAACACAAGATCACTGACCATGACCTTCAACACAAGATCACTGACCATGACCTTCAACACAAGATCACTGACCATGACCTTCAACACAAGATCACTGACCATGACCTTCAACAGAAGATCACTGACCATGACCTTTATCAGGAGATCACTGACCATGACCTTCAACAGAAGATCACTGACCATGACCTTCAACAGAAGACCACTGACCATGACATTGAACATAAGATCACTGACCATGACCTTCAACAGAAGACCACTGACCATGACATTGAACATAAGATCACTGGCCATGACCTTCAACACAAGATCACCCAACATGGCTTTCCAACAACAACAAAATCATTGACCATAATATTCAAAAGCTTTCTAATTCGTTCAATTGTTTGATGCATGAATCTGTATGTTTATTTACTGAATTAGCAAACAGGACAAAAATATGTCAAACACTGAGATAAGAAGTTAAAAAAATGGCATGAGACCATAGAAGAATGATTCCATAATTGAGTTTTCCTGTGCCTGGACTCCACTTCTGTCAGTCCGCAGGAGATCCACATGTATAATGTCAACAATCCAATCAATGATTATTGTAAACATTGTTCTTCTAAATCACACACTCCTGGGAAACCTCGGGGCTTATTATCTTCTGCCTCTCTAGATAGTATCAAATCTATGTCCATGCCATGAAAGCGGATTTCCTGTGTGGGTTCCTTGTGCGGGATCTGGAGCCCCATCTTCAGAGAAATACCTAGACCCAATGTCTCCCTAACAAGCAAGTCGTACAAGGCAATTAATTACGGGTGTATCCTTCAAAGTTGGAATTCATCTGCCCGATAGGTCAGGAACCAACAGTCTGCATTAAAGCAAGCCATATCTGTAATATGTGCACACAAAACTCAAGTGCTGGAACAAGACCAAAGTCCAGAAGTGGACAAACAGCCAGACTTTTCTGCCAGCGTTTTACAGCTGGTGAACGCTAAGAAGAAGAAATCAGACTGTCAAGAACCTTTACCCACAATTCTTCTTTGATCTCCGTTGTCATGTAAGTTAGCAGTTATCAAATGCTCCATATAGAATACATATCAGTTCTTTACCCACAGGACTGTAGGGTACTCCAGGTTAGTGTAACCTTTGGAGAGAGAATACGATATCTGGGATTGTGCTCTGTTGGTTTGCCATCCAGACTGAGACTGTGAAACATGGTGGTTTTCCTTCTCACAAAAAGCCTTGACTGCTGGTCTTGATTAGGTTTAGGTAACGGATCAACATCATGGCACAAGGGTAGTAACCCATAAATTGCTGGTCTTTGTTATAAATAAGTTGTCTCCCGTGTCTCAAGACTTTCTGTCTGTTGTAGGTTGTCTCTTGTGTCACATGACTCTCTAATGTCTGGTTTAGGTTGTCTCTTGCATCTCAGACTTTCTAAAGACTTAGATTATGCACAACTGTTTTGTATGTGTTTTTATATTGCTGGAATACATGAACTTTCTGTCAGTGATATCCTCCTCCTCCCCCCTCCCCCCTCCCTAAACTATTCTCAGTGTTTGCTGTGTCTCCCTTTTTCCCCCCTATTTCTAATCTCCTGCCTTGATACTCTTCTTTTTCGTCTAACCACATTTTTGAAATATTCCCGTGAACACTCCTAGAGTTTATTCATTATCCATGATTCTGTGCCAAACAAAAAATTAAAGAGCACATGTCACGCTCAGTCAATGTTCATGTCATACTCAGTCAATGTTCATGTAGAACTCAGCTGTTTAGATGTCAGAGGCCATTTAGTTTTGTGAAAATTTGCTTCAGCTCTCCTGCCCTGATGCTCTTTGAGAATGTTTGTCTCCTGCCTCTCATCATTTGTTACCAACTGTCCCAGGTAAGAAACACTGTAGGCTGCTTCGATTTGTGATCATCATCATCATCATCATTGTGACAGTCTAATACCTGATGGCAGCAGACAAAGAAGTTCTTCCATCAATCTGTGTAAACAAGTTGCATTATCAAGTCCAAAGACTGTCCTGAAGGAGCATCATGTTGGCCCCAACACTATGAAGCTAGCTGGTCAATGTGTTCTTGAGCTGGAAGTCTGCAGCAACTTTGTGGACCATACTCTCCAACAGATGATAGCTCTGCTGGAATTCATGGCTAAGATTAGAGATTTGTTCCCTAAACAGAAACAGGACAACTTTTGCTTTGTACACCGTCTGGCACAAGCTGGTGTACCTGCCGCTGTTCATGTACACATCAGTCTTCTGACATCTTGTACAGAGGAGGTCAAGATCATTTGTCAGAGATGAAATTGTTTGAAGAGAAAATTTACAGAAATGTTCACTCTTTATACAGGTGACCATGTTCTTGTCAGAGGTCAGTTGTGGCCGAGTTTGGTCCCCATCAGGTGTCAGTATTGGCTGAAGTTCCTCCGTTTCTGCTATAGTTTCTGTAGCGACATCTATCATGGTGCCAAAGTTAGAGCGGTCAAGGCCAAACAATGATGCTAGAGTTAACACGATGCTGCGGGTGAAGGCCACAAGGTCTCTGTAGACATTCATCTCCCCCTTGTCAAAGAGTCTCTCGCTAGAATCCTGCAAGCAGAAAAACATGGATCTGACAGAGTCTGCATCTCACAGTGTAAATGCTGAAATACTTGTTTACTGAGTATGTAACAAAAAAATCTACAGATCACAAAATCATTTCAACATCAATAATTAGGCTTCATGAAAGTAATGTAATCAATGTAACACTAGATCAGAGAAGTGATAACAGAGTTATCTGAACTGGTTGATACTCCTACAGCCTCTGTCATGGGATCATTCAGAACCTTCCACAGACTGACCTCCAGGGATTCAAATATGTCAGCCACAGAAACCCTTTGGTGAACTGTGAGAGAGGCATGAACTGTGAGAGAGGTGTGAACTGTGAGAGAGGTGTGAACTGTGAGAGAGGCGTGAATTTTGAGAGAGGTGTGAACTGTGAGAGAGGCATGAACTGTGAGAGAGGCGTGAACTGTGAGAGAGGCGTGAACTGTGAGAGAGGCGTGAACTGTGAGAGAGGCGTGAACTGTGAGAGAGGTGTGAACTGTGAGAGAGGCGTGAAATTTGAGAGAGGTGTGAACTGTGAGAGAGGAGTGAACTGTGAGAGAGGCCTGAAATGTGAGAGAGGCCTGAACTGTGAGAGAGGCGTGAACTGTGAGAGAAGCATGAACTGTGAGAGAGGCCTGAAATGTGAGAGAAGCATGAACTGTGAGAGAGGCATGAACTGTGAGAGAGGCATGAACTGTGAGAGAGGCATGAACAGTGAGAGAGGCATGAACTGTGAGAGAAGCATGAACTGTGAGAGAGGCATGAACTGTGAGAGAGGCATGAACTGTGAGAGAGGCATGAACTGTTAGAGAAGCATAAACTGTGAGAGAGGCGTGAACTGTGAGAGAGGTGTGAACTGTGAGACAGGTGTGAACTGTGAGAGAGGCGTGAACTGTGAGAGAGGAGTGAACTGTGAGAGAGGCATGAACTGTGAGAGAGGCATGAACTGTGAGAGAGGCATGAACTGTGAGAGAGGCATGAACTGTGAGAGAAGCATGAACTGTTAGAGAGGCATGAACTGTGAGAGAGGTGTGAACTGTGAGAGAGGCATGAACTGTGAGAGAGGCATGAACTATGAGAGAGTTATCTGAACTGGTTGATACTCCTACAGCCTCTGTCATGGGATCATTCAGAACCTTCCACAGACTGACCTCCAGGGATTCAAATATGTCAGCCACAGAAACCCTTTGGTGAACTGTGAGAGAGGCATGAACTGTGAGAGAGGTGTGAACTGTGAGAGAGGTGTGAACTGTGAGAGAGGCGTGAATTTTGAGAGAGGTGTGAACTGTGAGAGAGGCATGAACTGTGAGAGAGGCGTGAACTGTGAGAGAGGCGTGAACTGTGAGAGAGGCGTGAACTGTGAGAGAGGCGTGAACTGTGAGAGAGGTGTGAACTGTGAGAGAGGCGTGAATTTTGAGAGAGGTGTGAACTGTGAGAGAGGAGTGAACTGTGAGAGAGGCCTGAAATGTGAGAGAGGCCTGAACTGTGAGAGAGGCGTGAACTGTGAGAGAAGCATGAACTGTGAGAGAGGCCTGAAATGTGAGAGAAGCATGAACTGTGAGAGAGGCATGAACTGTGAGAGAGGCATGAACTGTGAGAGAGGCATGAACAGTGAGAGAGGCATGAACTGTGAGAGAAGCATGAACTGTGAGAGAGGCATGAACTGTGAGAGAGGCATGAACTGTGAGAGAGGCATGAACTGTTAGAGAAGCATAAACTGTGAGAGAGGCGTGAACTGTGAGAGAGGCGTGAACTGTGAGACAGGTGTGAACTGTGAGAGAGGCGTGAACTGTGAGAGAGGAGTGAACTGTGAGAGAGGCATGAACTGTGAGAGAGGCATGAACTGTGAGAGAGGCATGAACTGTGAGAGAGGCATGAACTGTGAGAGAAGCATGAACTGTTAGAGAGGCATGAACTGTGAGAGAGGTGTGAACTGTGAGAGAGGCATGAACTGTGAGAGAGGCATGAACTGTGAGAGAGGCATGAACTGTGAGAGAGGCATGAACTGTGAGAGAAGCATGAACTGTGAGAGAGGCATGAACTGTGAGAGAAGCATGAACTGTGAGAGAGGCATGAACTGTGAGAGAGGTGTGAACTGTGAGAGAGGCATGAACTGTGAGAGAGGCATGAACTGTGAGAGAAGCATGAACTGTGAGAGAGGCATGAACTATGAGAGAGGCATGAACTGTGAGAGAGGCGTGAACTGTGAGAGAGGCATGAACTGTGAGAGAGGCATGAACTGTGAGAGAAGCATGAACTGTGAGAGAGGCATGAACAGTGAGAGAGGCATGAACTGTGAGAGAGGCATGAACTGTGAGAGAAGCATAAACTGTGAGAGAGGCGTGAACTGTGAGAGAGGTGTGAACTGTGAGAGAGGCTTGAACTGTGAGAGAGGCATGAACTGTGAGAGAGGCGTGAACTGTGAGAGAGGCATGAACTGTGAGAGAGGCATGAACTGTGAGAGAGGCATGAACTGTGAGAGAGGCATGAACTGTGAGAGAAGCATGAACTGTGAGAGAGGCATGAACTGTGAGAGAGGTGTGAACTGTGAGAGAGGCATGAACTGTGAGAGAGGCATGAACTGTGAGAGAGGCGTGATCTGTGAGAGAAGCGTGAACTGTGAGAGAGGCGTGAACTGTGAGAGAGGTGTGAACTGTGAGAGAGGCGTGAACTGTGAGAGAGGTGTGAACTGTGAGAGAGGTGTGAACTGTGAGAGAGGTGTGAACTGTGAGAGAAGCATGAACTGTGAGAGAGGCATGAACTGTGAGAGAGGCATGAACTGTGAGAGAGGTGTGAACTGTGAGAGAGGTGTGAACTGTGAGAGAGGTGTGAACTGTGAGAGAGGTGTGAACTGTGAGAGAGGCATGAACTGTGAGAGAGGCATGAACTGTGAGAGAGGGATGAACTGTGAGAGAGGCATGAACTGTGAGAGAGGCCAGAGGTGCTGGAATGGACTCCATAAATGATATAAAAGTATTGCACAAGTTACAACAGAATGAAGAAATGGACTGCCAGCCCTGGGTAAAGTACAGCAGCATATTAGGACTTTGACAGATGAAAGATAGATATTTTCTTCATTAACCAAGTATCCTCAACATGAAAGCTTCCAGAACCTCATCTCTGACTCGTCTACCAGCATAACTGTTTTCTTTAATATCTACTTCTCTTCCTTCTCATCTTCTTTCTTTTCTTCTTTTTCTTCTCTAGTCCCGTTCTGTCTTTTTGGTATGTGCTATGTACATGCTGCTATTTACAGCCTGGGATATTCCCTCTATCCATCGCTTGTACGGTCAATGTTTAACTCCGCCTCTGTGGCACACTGTCTAGTGGAGTCTTGACACATTTCCGAAAAATTTGACCTGTAAAAAGTCAAGGTCAAGTCAGGAGATGTGAACCAGCGTCATTGCACACGGTTATTAACCATAAGTGCTCTGCCACCAGTAGGGACAGCTGATAAGAATTGTCTGCCTGTGTCGCTGTTCACACGTAACTCTGTAGCTACAGCGACGTTCCTCCATTTAGCCCAGAGTATCACTCTGGTACCCATTTCCTAGAGGCTGGGTGAGCCCTGGGAGCCGCCCGGTTTCGAACACCGACCTGTTGTCTCTTGATGTGGTTTAGTCTTGGTTCAATCACAACTTCTTGGTAATTTCTGATCGTGTCCCTTAACGGATCCTCTTCGTCCGGTCATTTAGTGACAAGAAGACAGCCCTCAATAATCTCAGGACAAAACCTTCTCTCTGAAATCTTGTTTATGACTGGCTGCATTTGGCAACTTGAAAGGCCATATTGTTGACTTCTGATCAGCAGCTCTGGTAGCATGAACCGATTTCTTTAGTGCTCAAGGAAATAGACTGCTTGTCATTTGCAATGATAGTTTGTCTGACCAGGGTTTGAACCTGTGAACTTAACCACTGGACAACCTTCTACAAGGACACTAGCACTAACAGTAGACAACTTACCTTAACATCAAAACTATCATCAGACAAGATCCATTGAAGCAGACAAGACACAACTCCGGGCAGGTCTCTGTCTGCATGCAGGGAAACCAGAACAGCTGGCAGACAGTGCAGGGCATAGCTCGGGTGGTAACATCCTGTTGTAAAGACAAGTAAGTACATTTCATAATTTACTATCTGGCATATGTAACTGTATCTCACTACTACAGGGTTACATCAACATATAATGAAGCACATACAAAAATGCATTTTTAAAAGTCACACTGTTTTCTCTAGTTACGCCCCATGACCAGAAGTACAAGATGGTTACCACAACAATTTTGACATTTACCACATTCTCTTTTTGTGTACACAATATGTGATTGTTCCTTTTTTTTTTATTGTCATAGCTCCTGCCAAATTCAGTAACTGCCTGTTTGATGTGTGGAAAATAACATGGAAGGCACTTTTTAATATTAGATAATGATTGCATTTTGTAGTTTACCTGGTCGAAGTCCACGGATGAGGCACGAGACAGACGCTGCAATGTCCTTGACCTCCAGATCATCCTCCTGTAGCAAGATAGCCAAACTGTCCCAGCTTAAAAAGACAGCACTTCCTGATAAGTTGGGAGAAAAGACACAAAACAATTTAAATGTAATTGTTAAATCTCCATAACGGTAACAGGGCAGCAGTCTGTATATCTGTGGAGTCCCATGTCTGCCTACCAGCAATAATCGTCTCCGCTGTATGGCTAGTCAAGGAATATGTGTGTATGTATTGCATGCATATACATTCATATTTAAAAGTCTGTGTTTGGCTTTCTGTGGCAGCTCATACCAGGGTATTCTTGTGCGGTGTCAAACCATTTAATCTGCTGTACTTTAATGAGCTGTAAGACAGGGTTAAATTTTATGTCAGAGGTGGAGGTAGCTAGCAAATATTTTCCTAGACAGTGTAAGGCTGGCATCACTGGATAAAGACAGAAAAACCACTGCTATACCCAGTACATTGTGTTAGATGATCAATTGTATTTCAAATAATCAACATTGCCCGGATACAGACAGAAAACCCACTTCTTTACCCAGTACATTAAACTAGATAATCAATGTTTACTCAAACAATACAGTCTGACATGCTACACCACACAGTCAATACTGATTTACTTTATAAACAAAGCTGCACCATCACTGTTAAATCAACCTGCAATTTCCATAAAGAAGCTTAGCTGCAATGGACACCCAATACAGTGCAGACCTGATAAGGAAAACTTACCGGGGACTCAAGAAATAGTTCTTCTTATCAGAAACTCATCTTGTCCAGATAAACATTCTAGCAAGAAAAATCGTTGGGGATAAACAAATTGTTGGGGATAAACAAATTGTTGGGGATAAACAAATTGTTGGGGATAAACAAATTGTTCTTCAAATCAGAAATGTGTCACAACTGAGACTGCCTCAAGTGGTCTACATTGTACTCTTTGTCTCTTAGTTTGGTCACATGTTCTGACAAACTGTTGTCCACTACTCTTAACAGAATCTTCTGTTTTGTATGTAAATGTTTACCTCCTGCTCAATTCTTTCATTGTGTCTTATCTAGTACATTTTATAAGCATGTCATGACTTTTAATATAGCTGCAATATTCAATTGTTCTCTTTATGTTTTCAGTCAGTTATTTTGTCATTTCTAGCTTCTCCAGGATTTCTGTGTTAGATTTGTCAAGTAGATGATCATTTACTGGCTTTGTTTAGGAAATAATTACTCAGTTGAGCTGATTCAGTAAGTGTGTTGGTGATATTGCTCCACTGTACTTTAGTCCACAATGTATAACAATACTCGGGTACAAGGCTGTAGTACAATGCCATGGTACATGCTGTGGTACAACAGTCTGGTCCAATGCCATGGTACAATGATGTGGTACAACAGAGTGGTCCAATGCCATGGTACAATGATGTGGTACAACAGAGTGGTCCAATGCCATGGTACAATGATGTGGTACAACAGTGTGGTCCAATACTGTGGTACAAGGCTGTAGTACAATACCATGGTACATGCTGTGGTACAACAGTCTGGTCCAATGCCATGGTACAATGATGTGGTACAACAGTGTGGTCCAATGCCATGGTACAATGATGTGGTACAACAGTGTGGTCCAATACTGTGGTATGATGCTGTGATAAAAGGCTGTAGTACAATGCTGTGGTATAACAGTGTGGTCCAATGCCGTGGTACACTATTGTGGTCTAATGCCGTGGTACAACGCTGGGTACAACACTGTGGGACAACAATGTGGTTCAACACTGTAGTCAAACACTGTGGTACAATACATAATGTTGTATAAATGCTTTAGTAAAACATAATGAAGCAACTTTGAACAAGTACCTAGCTTGTGATCAGGATCACAGAAGAGGATCCTGGCATTCTCCTGCAACATCTGACAGCAACTGATCTGAAGTTCTGGATTCTCATCGGTGTTGCTGCTGGACTTCACCAACTGTATCCAGCATCTGAGAGCTTCCCGTGCCTGACAAGGTTGCCCATCACCAGACAAGCCCATGCTGCTGTATACCAGAGGAACCAACCGACCAGCAAATCTCAGCATGGCTGCTCTGAGCTCAATTCTGGTGGAGGATATTAAACAGATGATACTGCATCAACTCATCTGTCTCAACATTAAGTACAAAATCCATGTAAAATATATATTCTACAATATCTCAACATATTGTAATGGACTCACAGAGTATGTTAAGAAAGTTGGAGACAGGCATGCTCTGTGCAGAGTGGCAAGCATCACTTTAGAGGTCCCGGGTAGTTAGCATCTTTTGGATATTTTCTCCAGGTCCTTCCAGTGTGTAGGGAAATGAGCAGGCAGATAGAATGGCCAGTTTCTGCACCCTTTGGTGGTGAATTGATGTATGACAAGCTAGATGTTATGAGGGCCCTTTAAGAGTAAATGAACAGTGTGGAGGCACAGACAGATAATTATGTTCTGAGGAGAAAGAGTTACCAGGGGATCTGGCAGAGGCTCAATACTCAAGGCAAAGACAAGATGGATATACAATCAGACAGTTACTGCTGCCATCATAACTGGAACTCTTCGCAAGCTGCTGAAGATGTCAGTGGTGTGATGTTGATTCCTTATTCAACATCTGTCCCAACGTTTGGTTAATGTCACTGACAGTACATGGATACAAGTGTTTGTATACATGCATTCACACACACATGCATTCACACACACATACATTCACACAAACATGCATTCACACAAACATGAATTCACACAAACATGCATTCACACAAACATGCATTCACACAAACATGCACTCATACAATATGTGCTCACACAATCAGAATACACACTCAGGTGTGTCCCTGACCCACATTGCCATGTGTCCCTGACCCACTTTGTCATGTGTCCCTGACCCACTTTGTCATGTGTCCCTGACCCACTTTGTCATGTGTCCCTGACCCACTTTGCCATGTGTCCCTGACCCACTTTGCCATGTGTCCCTGACCAACTTTGCCATGTGTCCCTGACCCACTTTGCCATGTGTCCCTGACCCACTTTGCCATGTGTCCCTGACCCACTTTGCCATGTGGCCTAGCCTTTGCTACTGTTGAACTGTTTGCCAGTTATCACTTATTTTCAAGTCTGTCAGCTCAGAACATGTTTATGTCCAATGTCTCTAATCAGTGTACGATTGTCATCTGTTTCTTGGCACATTTGCCTGCACATGTTTCAATCTCGAACACAGCAGTTTCCTTTTTTAAACTGCCCAAGGTCACCGTAAAATATCTACCAGGAAATTAAAAATGGCCGATGTGATATTGACAACACTACCAACTTTGTGCCAAGTGATCCGTAAATATATAGAGTTAGCACCCTATAATAAACACGTGGAAATGAGACCTTTCAGTTGCCTGCCTGGGTTCAGAGAGGATAAACCTGTGGCCACCTAATAAGCTATTAGTCTTCTTCTTCTTCTTCGGTCACCAGCTGTAAACTCTGGTGGAAAGTTCTGGTTGTTCATCCACTTCTGGACTGTAGTCCTGTTCCAGAACCTGAGTGCTGCGTGTGCATCCATTTTACAGATCTGACTCCTTTGTATGCAGACTGCTGGTTCCTTGTCTCACAGGCAGATGCACTCCAACTTTGAAGGAAGCTCCCAGTTAGTCGACTCTTACGACATGCCTTTGGGAAGGCAGTCGGTCTATTCTTGCTTTCCTCATAACAGGGCCCCGGAACCCACACGGGGATATGCATGTAGTAACAGGCAACTCAGAGGTCATGGGTTCCGATCCTGACTTTTCAAAAATGACCTTGGCTCCTAGGTCGGCCCAGCCTTGAATAGATACCAGCTGGAGTCCTGGGAAATAAAGGCAGCCGGCATGATACTGCACCACATCACCCACCAAGTGCTATTGGTCTATAAAATATAGGTCTAGCCCTATATGCCTGAACGTTTAGAAAGGGTCCTTTACTTTTATTAATTTTTTTCAACTTTACTTAAAAGGAAACTAATTATGAGTTTGCTAAAATCTGATGTGCAGCCTAGCTGTAAACCACATCAAAATGACCCATCTGCCCTTTTTCAGAATGAATACAGAATAAGACTAAGTACCTTTACATTAATTGTTTATTCTTTCTGTTTCTAGCCCTATTAATCAAGCTCCTCTTTCATCACAACCAGACAGTCCTAAATCTCTTAGACACCTCAAACAGCATGTAGCCCAGACAGTCTTAAATCACTGTATCACTGAGACACCTCAAACAGCATGTAGCCCAGACATCTCAGAAGTCTTAAATCTCTGTCTCACTGACACTGAGACACCTCAAACAGCATGTAGCCCAGACATCCCAGACTGTCTTAAATCACTGTATCACTGACACTGAGACACCTCAAACAGCATGTAGCCCAGACATCCCAGACTGTCTTAAATCACTGTATCACTGACACTGAGACACCTCAAACTGTAGCCCAGACATCCCAGACAGTCTTAAATCTCTGTCTCACTGACACTGAGACACCTCAAATAGCATGTAGCCCAGACATCCCAGACTGTCTTAAATCACTGTATCACTGACACTGAGACACCTCAAACTGTAGCCCAGACATCCCAGACAGTCTTAAATCTCTGTATCACTGACACTGAGACACCTCAAACTGTAGCCCAGACATCCCAGACAGTCTTAAATCTCTGTCTCACTGACACTGAGACACCTCAAACTGTAGCCCAGACATCTCAGACAGTCTTAAATCTCTGTATCACTGACACTGAGACACCTCAAACTGTAGCCCAGACATCTCAGACAGTCTTAAATCTCTGTATCACTGACACTGAGACACCTCAAACTGTAGCCCAGACATCCCAGACAGTCTTAAATCTCTGTATCACTGACACTGAGACACCTCAAACTGTAGCCCAGACATCTCAGACTGTCTTAAATCTCTGTATCACTGACACTGAGACACCTCAAACAGCATGTAGCCCAGACTGTCTTAAATCACTGTATCACTGACACTGAGACACCTCAAACAGCATGTAGCCCAGACATCTCAGACAGTCTTAAATCACTGTATCACTGACACTGAGACACCTCAAACTGTAGCCCAGACATCCCAGACTGTCTTAAATCTCTGTATCACTGACACTGAGACACCTCAAACTGTAGCCCAGACATCCCAGATTGTCTTAAATCACTGTATCACTGACACTGAGACACCTCAAACTGTAGCCCAGACATCCCAGATTGTCTTAAATCACTGTATCACTGACACTGAGACACCTCAAACTGTAGCCCAGACATCCCAGACAGTCCTAAATCTCTGTATCACTGACACTGAGACACCTCAAACTGTAGCCCAGACATCCCAGATTGTCTTAAATCACTGTATCACTGACACTGAGACACCTCAAACTGTAGCCCAGACATCCCAGACTGTCTTAAATCACTGTATCACTGACACTGAGACACCTCAAACTGTAGCCCAGACATCCCAGACAGTCTTAAATCACTGTATCACTGACACTGAGACACCTCAAAGAGCATGTAGCCCAGACAGTCTTAAATCACTGTATCACTGACACTGAGACACCTCAAACTGTAGCCCAGACATCCCAGACAGTCTTAAATCTCTGTCTCACTGACAATGAGACACCTCAAACAGCATGTAGCCCAGACATCCCAGACAGTCTTAAATCACTGTATCACTGACACTGAGACACCTCAAACAGCATGTAGCCCAGACATCCCAGACAGTCTTAAATCTCTGTCTCACTGACAATGAGACACCTCAAACAGCATGTAGCCCAGACATCCCAGACAGTCTTAAATCACTGTATCACTGACACTGAGACACCTCAAACAGCATGTAGCCCAGACATCCCAGACAGTCTTAAATCACTGTATCACTGACACTGAGACACCTCAAACAGTATGTAGCCCAGACATCCCAGACAGTCTTAAATCACTGTATCACTGACACTGAGACACCTCAAACAGCATGTAGCCCAGACATCCCAGACAGTCTTAAATCTCTGTCTCACTGACAATGAGACACCTCAAACAGCATGTAGCCCAGACATCCCAGACAGTCTTAAATCACTGTATCACTGACACTGAGACACCTCAAACAGCATGTAGCCCAGACATCCCAGACAGTCTTAAATCACTGTATCACTGACACTGAGACAACTCAAACTGTAGCCCAGACATCCCAGACTGTCTTAAATCACTGTATCACTGACACTGAGACAACTCAAACTGTAGCCCAGACATCCCAGACTGTCTTAAATCACTGTATCACTGACACTGAGACACCTCAAACTGTAGCCCAGACTGTCTTAAATCTCTGTATCACTGACACTGAGACACCTCAAACAGCATGTAGCCCAGACTGTCTTAAATCTCTGTATCACTGATACTGAGACACCTCAAATAGCATGTAGCCCAGACTGTCTTAAATCTCTGTATCACTGACACTGAGACACCTCAAATAGCATGTAGCCCAGACAGTCTTAAATCTCTGTATCACTGATACTGAGACACCTCAAATAGCATGTAGCCCAGACTGTCTTAAATCTCTGTATCACTGACACTGAGACACCTCAAATAGCATGTAGCCCAGACAGTCTTAAATCTCTGTATCACTGATACTGAGACACCTCAAATAGCATGTAGCCCCCAGACAGTCTTAAATCTCTGTATCACTGATACTGAGACACCTCAAATAGCATGTAGCCCAGACAGTCTTAAATCTCTGTATCACTGACACTGAGACACCTCAAACAGCATGTAGCCCAGACAGTCTTAAATCTCTGTATCACTGACACTGAGACACCTCAAACAGCATGTAGCCCAGACATCTCAGACAGTCTTAAATCTCTGTATCACTGACACTGAGACACCTCAAACAGCATGTAGCCCAGACATCTCAGACAGTCTTAAATCTCTGTATCACTGACACTGAGACACCTCAAACAGCATGTAGCCCAGACATCCCAGACTGTCTTAAATCTCTGTATCACTGACACTGAGACACCTCAAACTGTAGCCCAGACATCTCAGACAGTCTTAAATCTCTGTATCACTGACACTGAGACACCTCAAACAGCATGTAGCCCAGACTGTCTTAAATCTCTGTATCACTGATACTGAGACACCTCAAATAGCATGTAGCCCAGACTGTCTTAAATCTCTGTATCACTGACACTGAGACACCTCAAATAGCATGTAGCCCAGACAGTCTTAAATCTCTGTATCACTGATACTGAGACACCTCAAATAGCATGTAGCCCAGACAGTCTTAAATCTCTGTATCACTGATACTGAGACACCTCAAATAGCATGTAGCCCTGACTGTCTTAAATCTCTGCACACTGACACTGAGACACCTCAAATAGCATGTAGCCCAGACAGTCTTAAATCACTGTATCACTGACACTGAGACACATCAAACAGCATGTAGCCCAGACATCTCAGACAGTCTTAAATCACTGTATCACTGACACTGAGACACCTCAAACTGTAGCCCAGACATCCCAGACTGTCTTAAATCTCTGTATCACTGACACTGAGACACCTCAAACAGCATGTAGCCCAGACAGTCTTAAATCACTGTATCACTGACACTGAGACACCTCAAACGGCATGTAGCTCAGACATCACAGACAGTCAGAACATACTCAACAATACTGCCAAAGTCTCCCCAGATAAACAACAAGTTGCTCACCTTCTCTCATTCCATATCCTGGTTTGCAACTGGGAAAACATCTGAGGGAGAAACATATCATATGTTACTATAATTAACACCTTGTATAAAAGTAACAATCTTCCAAATTTAAAAACCAAACAAATGCAGAATTAAAAAAAAAAAAAATTACAGATGGAAATCAGACAGGGCACCAGACAGGGCACCAGACAGGGCACCATAGAGCAATGTTATACAGATACTGTAGTAACAAAGAAAGAGGTTTACCACGCAGAAGATGGACCACAGAAATATCAAAGACACTGAAAAGTATCACATACATACAAAGTGAACAGAAGGGCACATTTCAGAGATCTATTTTTTCCCTGACTCTGAGAAGCATTCCCCATAGAGAAAAGAAGAAGACAGACAGATATGAACTCTTGCTAATTTCAAAGGCTCATATGGATAGGACATCTAGAGAATGCAGGATGGTAGAGTCCATAAGGACATCCTTTATGGAGAATTACAAACATATTAATGCAGAATTGTCAAATATGAGGATATGGTTCATGGAGGGGAATAATCAAGAAGGTATTATGGATGAAGAAGAAAATAATTGCCCAAAGGTTGAGGGCTGAGAAGCCGAGAAGAGTCACATCAAGTTCTTGTGATGGCAATAACGATCAGGAAATCCCATAGGCTACATCTGGAAGACTTGTCTTCAGGTGGGCAGGATTAGCTAGTCACACTCCTTATCATCATGGGCTCTGATTCCCACACCTCTCTACAGATCTGCTAGACACACTCTCATTACCAGGGCTCTGATTCCCACACCTCTCTACAGATCTGCTAGACACACTCCTCATTACCAGGGCTCTGATTCCCACACCTCTCTACAGATCTGCTAGACACACTCCTCATTACCAGGGCTCTGATTCCCACACCTCTCTACAGATCTGCTAGTCACACTCCTCATTACCAGGGCTCTGATTCCCACACCTCTCTACAGATCTGCTGGTCACACTCCTCATCACCAACAGATGGAAATGTGCCAACACAAACTGTATGGTTAGAATACAACTGTTAAATAGGTAAAACAGTAACACTAATTCTGTCAGTAACTGTTGTGGGAAAAACACTTACACAAACAAACACACATGCATGCAGACACACAGCCTGATATCAATGATATCCTTACCTGCACAACTTCTCCGCTACTCCTTCCTGACAGGAGTCTGGTACTTCCACTAATGCAGACAAGGACACAGAATAACTGCAATACAGATCAAACATCTGTTTAATGGAACATGGTTGTGATCATTTACACTCTCATACAACTTTTGTACATTTTAAAAACTGGAGAGCTACAGGAATGTAGAAGGTTCGAAGCCCTCCGGTCAAATATCATCTCAGTGATGGCAATAAATAACCAACAGCTATCCAGTTTTTAAGAACAATTTCTACAATGTGTACAAATGATGTACAAATGATTCCAAATGATGTACAAATGATTCCAAATGATTCCAAATGATGTACAAATGATTCCAAATGATTCCAAATGATGTACAAATGATTCCAAATGATGTACAAATGATTCCAAATGATGTACAAATGATTCCAAATGATTCCAAATGATTCCACAGTAACACTAATTCTGTACAAATGTTGTGGGAAAAATACTTACAAATGATTCACACATGCATGACACACAGCCTGATATCAATGATATCCTTACCTGCACAACTTCTCCGCTACTCCTTCCTGACAGAAGTCTGGTACTTCCACTAATGCAGACGAGGACACAGAATAACTGCAATACAGATCAAACATCTGTTTCATGGAACATGGCTGTGATCATTTACACTCTCATACAACTTTTGTACATTTTAAAAACTGGAGAGCTACAGGAATGTAGAAGGTTTGAAGCCCTCTGGTCAAATATCATCTCAGCGATGGCAACAAATAACCAACAGATATCCAGTTTTTAAGAACAATTTCTACAATGATTCCAAATGATGTACAAATAGTGATTTTCCCTATTTTATTATTTTCCCTATTTTATTATCATAAAGGATCATGGACAAACTCAAAAGTGCTCAGTCTCTCCCAGTACAGAAAGTGTGGATTTTGACAGTCCTGGTTGTCAGCTGATAAGCTACTTCTCCCAGAGCAGTCAATGTGACCAGCCATATACTGACTTCTCAATGTGACCAGCCATATATAGACTTCTCAATGTGACCAGCCATATACTGACTTCTCAATGTGACCAGCCATATACAGACTTCTCAATGTGACCAGCCATATACAGACTTCTCAATGTGACCAGCCATATACTGACTTCTCAATGTGACCAGCCATAAACTGACTTCTCAATGTGACCAGCCATAAACTGACTTCTCAATGTGACCAGCCATATACAGACTTCTCAATGTGACCAGCCATAAACTGACTTCTCAATGTGACCAGCCATATACAGACTTCTCAATGTGACCAGCCATAAACTGACTTCTCAATGTGACCAGCCATAAACTGACTTCTCAATGTGACCAGCCATAAACTGACTTCTCAATGTGACCAGCGATATACTGACTTCTCAATGTGACCAGCGATATACTGACTTCTCAATGTGACCAGCGATATACAGACTTCTCAATGTGACCAGCCATAAACTGACTTCTCAATGTGACCAGCCATAAACTGACTTCTCAATGTGACCAGCCATAAACTGACTTCTCAATGTGACCAGCCATATACAGACTTCTCAATGTGACCAGCCATATACTGACTTCTCAATGTGACCAGCGATATACTGACTTCTCAATGTGACCAGCGATATACAGACTTCTCAATGTGACCAGCCATAAACTGACTTCTCAATGTGACCAGCCATAAATTGACTTCTCAATGTGACCAGCCATAAACTGACTTCTCAATGTGACCAGCCATATATAGACTTCTCAATGTGACCAGCCGTATACTGACTTTCCTCTGCTAAAGCTGTGAGTAAATTCATCAAAAGATGTGTTACCATGCATAGGCTGTCATTGAAGACCCACAAAATATCCCATTTGTTTATCTTGTCTGTGCTGGTAAAAGTAGAACGTGTCAGCAGAGGTGAGGACAGAAAGAGTTGGAGATACACTTTCAGCAACCTTAATTACACTGCTGGTTTCTGACTGATGTTTGTTTGATTATTTAACACTCTAATACCTAATCCTGCCTCTTGACCTTTCACTGTCTTGCACTTGTATGATTACCAAAGACAAATGTTCATATTTCAAAAGCTTTCCTAAGCAAGAAAAGACATTATCTGACAGCAGGATTTTTGTTACAAACATATTATGAATGTGACAGTGTGCATGCAGCTGGCAACATAAAACAATGGAAGACAGTGAATGCACAGAACCAATGACAATTCTCACCTTCTGTAAGCACTCGTGGTGGGTTTCTGTCTCCAGGGCCATGGTGAGGATGTGATCAAATAAAGCAGGAGACAGCTGCTCTAAGGTTACATTACTGAGTCCACAGTTCACCTTCTCAGTTTCAACAGCAGAGGTACATGATTCAAAGTCCCCAGAACTGGCATTCACGTTACCACACTTAGTTGAGCTAAGATCCTGACCCTTCTTTATGCCATCTGTCCTCAAGAAATTCCACAGGAGGTCTAGAACTTCAAGCCTGACCTCGTAGAGTGGAGAATCCAGCAGCTTCATTAGCACATCCTTGAGTCCAATTTTAGAAGTTGTGAAGGACAATTTATCTGCCAACTCTGTGCTTTCAGCTCGGGAGGCAGCAGAACCAGCAGCCACAGTACTGACACCAGCAGACACAGTGCTGACACCAGCAGACATAGTGCTGTCACCAGCAGACACAGTGCTGTCACCAGCAGACACAGTACCGACACCAGCAGACACAGTGCTGTCACCAGCAGACACAGTACTGACACCAGCAGACACAGTACTGACACCAGCAGACACAGTACTGACATCAGCAGACACAGCACTGACACCAGCAGACACAGTGCTGACACCAGCAGACACAGCACTGACACCAGCAGACACAGCACTGACACCAGCAGACACAGTACTGACACCAGCAGACACAGCACTGACACCAGCAGACACAGTACTGACACCAGCAGACACAGCACTGACACCAGCAGACACAGTACTGACACCAGCTACATGCTTCAGACACAACATGGCTCTGGTCTTCTCCAAGTCAAAGTACAATGGCTGCCAGACCTGCTCTGAAGAGCTACTGTCCTGTAGTAAAGCCGACAGAAATATTCTCCCAAGTTCCTCCACGACTTTAGCAGATTCTGGAAACCTGTGATTCCCTGTCCCTGAGATATCCAGAACGACATCCGTCAGCAGTAGCGCTGCTTGTCGTGTGGCGGAGCAAGTATTGTCGCTGGAACAGAAATGTGTAATATTTCATGTTAACATGAATTATCAACATATTTTCAGTAAATCTCACACAGTGACAATGTATGTTTGTGGTTACCAGAAACATTTGGATACTGGAATTTGTGACACAATGATAATGATGGGGAATAAACACACACACATGTATGTGCGTGTGGATGTGTATGTGGGAGAGTCCATTGTGCTGTCTGCACCGTGCTAGATTTAGTGTAGACAAATTTTCAATAAAGGGAGCAAGAAAAACAAAAAAAATTCACTAAATGAAAAGGAATTCAGGGACAAAGTAGAAACAAAGGAATTCAGGGACAAAGTAGAAACAAAGGAATTCAGGGACAATGTAGAAACAAAGGAATTCAGGGACAAAGTAGAAACAAAGGAATTCAGGGACAATGTAGAAACAAAGGAATTCAGGGACAATGTAGAAACAAAGGAATTCAGGGACAAAGTAGAAACAAAGGAATTCAGGGACAAAGTAGAAACAAAGGAATTCAGGGACAAAGTAGAAACAAAGGAATTCAGGGACAAAGTAGAAACAAAGGAATTCAGGGACAAAGTAGAAACAAAGGAATTCAGGGACAAAGTAGAAACAAAGGAATTCAGGGACAAAGTAGAAACAAAGGAATTCAGGGACAAAGTAGAAACAAAGGAATTCAGGGACAAAGTAGAAACAAAGGAATTCAGGGACAAAGTATAGACAAACGAATTCAGGGACAAAGTATAGACAAACGAATTCAGGGACAAAGTATAGACAAACGAATTCAGGGACAAAGTAGAAACTAAGGAACTGAGATTGAAGAGTATAGCCTGAATGCCAGTCGGTAATGTATAACATGCTGCCGTATGCCTGCATAAATCAACCATTATGACAGTCCCTTGCCATACGTGAACTATATCATTTATGTCTAGAATGTAGCTGGTGTGAAAACAGTCAACATTATGTGTCTATGGTAGTTTGTGTTATATTTTGCCTGTAACTCCTGGCCACGTATGTTGCTGGTGTAGAAATTCCTCATCAGGAAAATTTGTTGTGCTGTACTCTGTTCAACAGTTAGGCTCTTTAAATACCTAGGCTCTTTAGTGAAAAACAGTGGCGACTGCCGGAAAGAAGTCAGAAGAAGACTTGCATTGGCAATGCAGAGATTAAACAGCCAGAAGAACCTATGGCAAAGCACCTGTAAATTGGTTAAAGTAAAATCTTGAGATTATGCATTTTTCCTGTGGCAACCTACGGTTGTGAGTCCTGGACTCTCACTGAATCACTGAAGACAAAGATTGGAGCTTTTGAATTACAATGTTACAGAACAATTCTCAGAATACCGTGGATCAAGAAAAAGAAAAACATCGACATTCTACACGAGTTAAACATCAAGGAGAACTGGCTCATTAACAGCGTCCTGTCCTGGAAGTTGAAGTATGTTGGCCACATCAAGCGTCATGGTGGCTTGAAAAAGATGGTGATGGAGGGTGCAGTTTGTGGAAAATAAAGATGGAAACAGAACACTGAAGATGCACTGACATTGAAAGCACATAGGGCTGGAGAGCTGGCTAGGGAAAGGGATACTTTTAGATATGCCATGAAGAGAGCGACATTCTTGACTTGTTGATTGATGATGATGATGATGATGATGTTTCCATGAAATATGACCTTTTCTGTAAATCAAAATTTCCAGAGACAATTTAATTTTCTAGCTACCTTTTCATTGTCCAAGTTTCTGCACCATACAGCAGGATTGAGTATACATAATGTATGACGATTCTCATTTTTTAATATCTTTATGGGTAGTTAACTTTGTATTAACCAATCAGATGTTGAACAAAACAAATCAGTGACAGACCAGAATGCAAGCTCATGTGACATACAAACGGCACAGGCTGATGATGACCAACAAGAAATGTTCATTACGAATCACATCCACATGAGTTTGGTTACAGCAGAATCCCTGGGTCACATGAATACCTGGAGATCATCCATGTTCGCTTGCGTAGGCTGGAGACAATGGAGTGGAAAACTGCATCCTCTATGCTTGCTGCCATTTCTTGGATAAGTTTTGCCAGCTGGCACAACTGCAGGAAACAATACAACAAGCATGGCATCAGGAACATGTACAATAACATACAAAATGTCTCATCTACAATGAAACAGCAGACTGGCTGTCCTCCATGGAAAACAATGAAGTTGTGCAACCAAGGGAGACATGATGCTGTCCTTGAAAGCTTGGTTTGTTATCTCTAAACTGGTGTCACTCGTTATCTCTAAACTGGTGTCACTTGTCATCTCTAAACTGGTGTCACTTGTCATCTCTAAACTGGTGTCACTTGTTATCTCTAAACTGTTGTCACTTGTTATCTCTAAACTGGTGTCACTTGTTATCTCTAAACTGGTGTTACTTGTTATCTCTAAACTGGTGTCACTGGTTATCTCTAAACTGGTGTCACTGGTTATCTCTAAAATGCTGTCACTGGTTATCTCTAAACTGGTGTCACTGGTTATCTCTAAACTGGTATCACTGGTTATCTCTAAACTGGTGTCACTGGTTATCTCTGAACTGGTGTCACTGGTTATCTCTAAACTGGTATCACTGGTTATCTCTAAACTGGTGTCACTGGTTATCTCTAAACTGATGTCACTTGTTATATCTAAACTGGTGTCACTGGTTATCTCTAAACTGGTGTCACTGGTTATCTCTAAACTGGTATAACTTGTTATCTCTAAACTGGTGTCACTTGTTATCTCTAAACTGGTGTCACTTGTTATCTCTAAACTGGTGTCACTTGTTATCTCTGAACTGGTGTCACTCGATATCTCTAAACTGGTGTCACTTGTTATCTCTAAACGATTGTGAATTGTTATCTCTAAACGATTGTCAATTGTTATCTCTAAACTGGTGTCACTTGTTATCTCTAAACTGTTGTCACTTGTTATCTCTAAACTGGTGTCACTTGTTATCTCTGAACTGGTGTCACTCGATATCTCTAAACTGGTATCACTCGTTATCTCTAAACGATTGTCAATTGTTATCTCTAAACGATTGTCAATTGTTATCTCTAAACGATTGTCAATTGTTATCTCTAAACGATTGTCAATTGTTATCTCTAAACTGGTGTCACTTGTTATCTCTAAACTGGTGTTTCTTGTTATCTCTAAACTGGTGTTACTTGTTATCTCTAAACTGGTGTTACTTGTTATCTCTAAACTGGTGTTACTTGTTATCTCTAAACGATTGTCAATTGTTATCTCTAAACTAGTGTCACTTGTTATCTCTAAACTGTTGTCACTTGTTATCTCTAAACTGGTGTCACTTGTTATCTCTAAACTAGTGTCACTTGTTATCTCTAAACTGGTGTCACTTGTTATCTCTAAACTGGTGTTACTTGTTATCTCTAAACTGGTGTTACTTGTTATCTCTAAACTGGTGTTACTTGTTATCTCTAAACTGGTGTTACTTGTTATCTCTAAACGATTGTCAATTGTTATCTCTAAACTGGTGTCACTTGTTATCTCTAAACTGTTGTCACTTGTTATCTCTAAACTGGTGTCACTTGTTATCTCTAAACTGGTGTCACTTGTTATCTCTAAACTGTTGTCACTTGTTATCTCTAAACTGGTGTCACTTGTTATCTCTAAACTGGTGTCACTTGTTATCTCTAAACTGGTGTCACTTGTTATCTCTAAACTGGTGTCACTTGTTATCTCTAAACTAGTGTCACTTGTTATCTCTAAACTGGTGTCACTTGTTATCTCTAAACTGGTGTCACTTGTTATCTCTAAACTGGTGTCACTTGTTATCTCTAAACTGGTGTCACTTGTTATCTCTAAACTAGTGTCACTTGTTATCTCTAAACTGTTATCACTTGTTATCTCTAAACTGTTGTCACTTGTTAACTCTAAACTGTTATCACTTGTTATCTCTAAACTGGTGTCACTTGTTATCTCTAAACTGGTGTCACTTGTTATCTCTAAACTGGTGTCACTTGTTATCTCTAAACGATTGTCAATTGTTATCTCTAAACTAGTGTCACTTGTTATCTCTAAACTAGTGTCATTTGTTATCTCACCCCCTGAGTCTATCATATCAGGATATCATCCCCATTGTGCCAATAAACTCCCTTTTATTTATCGACATTATCCAACCAGACATTCACAACACATTTTCATTAACATATTCTCACATTGATTACATTAGTGTACATCCAGTATTTGTATTTTCAGTACCTGCAGAAGTAGGCCATGAACTTGACTACTGAAAACATTCTCATTGGTTCTTGCTTCGGGTATACACTCCAATAGCTGACAGCAAATACCGATCACCTGATTCCTCTTAGCCAATGGCAGCAGTGCTCTGGAAGCAATCACTCGTGTCTTGTACACAGGACTGGCAGCACATCTGCACCAATGAGATCAAGGACATGTCTCAATACTGACAGTTATGCTAATTTCACATTTGAAGTCACATGACAATGAAATACAAAACTTCATGTGTACATCCTTCTTTTTCTGTGTTTGTCCTTTAAAGGGTTGGTGGTTTACCATGTTGTGGTTTACAGCTAGGCTGATATATCTCAAACTTGAGCCCAACACATCCGAGTTCAGCAAACCCTTTATAGATACTTGTTTAACCAGATGATTAAGGTGCAATGGGTCTAAGCCAACACACCCCCCCCCCCCCCCCCCAATCAATAGGGCCCTGTAACATGCACACAAAATGTGTACTTTCAACATTTTGATAAACACGACCAAATGCCCTTGCCAAATAAAAAAACATTACTATTAAATTTTAAAGGCTAAAAATGTTACTGAAAATTACTTAGTTTTGTGTGTGTGAGTGTACCTGCATCTACACAGTGACATTCTTCACAAGATGGGACAGGGGGAAACAAATGGTCATATCCAGATATCAGATACAGAAATGTTATATAATCAGACACAGAAATGTTTTGTAATCAGACACAGAAATGTTTTACAATCAGACACAGAAATGTTATACAATCAGACACAGAAATGTTATACAATCAGACACAGAAATGTTATATAATCAGACACAGAAATGTTATGTAATCAGGCACAGAAATGTTATACAATCAGACACAGAAATGTTATAAAATCAGAGACAGAAATGTTATACAATCAGACACAGAAATGTTATACAATCAGACACAGAAATGTTATACAATCAGACACAGAAATGTTATAAAATCAGAGACAGAAATGTTATACAATCAGACACAGAAATGTTATGTAATCAGACACAGTAATGTTATATAATCAGACACAGAAATGTTATACAATCAGACACAGAAATGTTATACAATCAGACACAGAAATGTTATACAATCAGACACAGAAATGTTATACAATCAGACACAGAAATGTTATACAATCAGACACAGAAATGTTATACAATCAGACACAGAAATGTTATACAATCAGACACAGAAATGTTATAAAATCAGAGACAAAAATGTTATACAATCAGACACAGAAATGTTATGTAATCAGACACAGAAATGTTATACAATCAGACACAGAAATGTTATATGATTAGATACAGAAATATTATGTAATCAGACACAGAAATGTTATTAATCAGACCAAGAAATGTTACCAGAAAAAAAAATTCACCAAATGAACAACTGTGCACAACCTGTTCTTCGATGTGATCTGATTAGTGGATAATAAGAAATGAAAGGACAAAGAAACAGGAGGTAGGTACATGTGATTGTAATGAGAGATAGATAGAATATTGTGGACAGAGATCAAATAAATGTGGATGTATTGAGGGTTGCAGGCATTAAACAATCACTCATAAACATCAAATATCAATGTATGTGGCCATGCTACCTCAAAGATGTTCCCAGATTTAACATGACACCATGACCAAAAGATGTTCCCAGATATAACATGACACCATGACCAAAAGATGTTCCCAGATTTAACATGACACCATGACCAAAAGATGTTCCCACCTGTTACCTGACCACATGCATAATGACACTGTCAGCCGTTACCTGATAACATAAGGGATGAATGCACTCAGGTTGAGGCTAGTGTCAGATCCTTCCAGGGTTGACGGAAACAGTCGGCCCAAAACTAGCAATACGGGATACAAACTTGGTCGAATGTGGATCCTGTGTTTTGACCTGAGAATCAGTTGGCATCACATATAACAATCATATCAAAATTTCCATAAAAGAATATGACTTTCATACTTGCAGACATTAAATTCAATTACTGTTTTATTTTTAGTCAGTGCAAATATCCAATTTGGTTATACAATTTTTGTATTAATGGTTTCAAGCATCATACTTAGCTATAAATGTATAATTTTTAATTATTGTAAATAACAAATAAATCAGATGTGTGTTTTCAGTGAATGTAAATATCAAACTGCCCAAAGAAACAATAAGGAAACACACTGGGACAGAACCAGTGCTCAACTACATCTGTAATATATGAGCCATCGAATACCAGCATCTACACAGCACATACCCAGGCTCGCACCTGATAGCTCTTCAAAACCTGATGCTGAAAGGCAAAACAGGACTAGAGAAGTAGAAGAAGAAGATATCAAACACAATACTGCATGTGTGGTTATTTGTCTATCTAGTGGTCAGCATACTAGATCACCAAGAAGTTAAGGTATCTCTGTCCCATCTAGTGTTTAGCATACTTGATCACCAAAAAGTGTGGGTATCTGTCCATCTAGTGGTCAGCATACTTGATCACCAAGAAGTGTGGGTATCTCTGTCCCATCTAGTGGTCAGCATACTTGATCACCAAGAAGTGTGGGTATCTGTCCATCTAGTGGTCAGCATACTTGATCACCAAGAAGTGTGGGTATCTGTCCATCTAGTGGTCAGCATACTTGATCACCAAGAAGTGTGGGTATCTGTCCATCTAGTGGTCAGCATACTTGATCACCAAGAAGTGTGGGTATCTGTCCATCTAGTGGTCAGCATACTTGATCACCAAGAAGTGTGGGTATCTGTCCATCTAGTGGTCAGCATACTTGATCACCAAGAAGTGTGGGTATCTGTCCATCTAGTGGTCAGCATACTTGATCACCAAGAAGTGTGGGTATCTGTCCATCTAGTGGTCAGCATACTTGATCACCAAGAAGTGTGGGTATCTGTCCATCTAGTGGTCAGCATACTTGATCACCAAGAAGTGTGGGTATCTGTCCATCTAGTGGTCAGCATACTTGATCACCAAGAAGTGTGGGTATCTGTCCATCTAGTGGTCAGCATACTTGATCACCAAGAAGTGTGGGTATCTGTCCATCTAGTGGTCAGCATACTTGATCACCAAGAAGTGTGGGTATCTGTCCATCTAGTGGTCAGCATACTTGATCACCAAGAAGTGTGGGTATCTGTCCATCTAGTGGTCAGCATACTTGATCACCAAGAAGTGTGGGTATCTGTCCATCTAGTGGTCAGCATACTTGATCACCAAGAAGTGTGGGTATCTGTCCATCTAGTGGTCAGCATACTTGATCACCAAGAAGTGTGGGTATCTGTCCATCTAGTGGTCAGCATACTTGATCACCAAGAAGTGTGGGTATCTGTCCCATCTAGTGGTCAGCATACTTGATCACCAAGAAGTGTGGGTATCTGTCCATCTAGTGGTCAGCATACTTGATCACCAAGAAGTGTGGGTATCTGTCCCATCTAGTGGTCAGCATACTTGATCACCAAGAAGTGTGGGTATCTGTCCCATCTAGTGGTCAGCATACTTGATCACCAAGAAGTGTGGGTATCTGTCCATCTAGTGGTCAGCATACTTGATCACCAAGAAGTGTGGGTATCTGTCCCATCTAGTGGTCAGCATACTTGATCACCAAGAAGTGTGGGTATCTGTCCATCTAGTGGTCAGCATACTTGATCACCAAGAAGTGTGGGTATCTGTCTATCTAGTGGTCAGCATACTTGATCACCAAGAAGTGTGGGTATCTGTCCATCTAGTGGTCAGCATACTTGATCACCAAGAAGTGTGGGTATCTGTCCATCTAGTGGTCAGCATACTTGATCACCAAGAAGTGTGGGTATCTGTCCATCTAGTGGTCAGCATACTTGATCACCAAGAAGTGTGGGTATCTGTCCATCTAGTGGTCAGCATACTTGATCACCAAGAAGTGTGGGTATCTGTCCATCTAGTGGTCAGCATACTTGATCACCAAGAAGTGTGGGTATCTGTCCATCTAGTGGTCAGCATACTTGATCACCAAGAAGTGTGGGTATCTGTCCATCTAGTGGTCAGCATACTTGATCACCAAGAAGTGTGGGTATCTGTCCATCTAGTGGTCAGCATACTTGATCACCAAGAAGTGTGGGTATCTGTCCATCTAGTGGTCAGCATACTTGATCACCAAGAAGAAGTGTGGGTATCTGTCCATCTAGTGGTCAGCATACTTAGATCACCAAGAAGTGTGGGTATCTGTCCATCTAGTGGTCAGCATACTTGATCACCAAGAAGTGTGGGTATCTGTCCATCTAGTGGTCAGCATACTAGATCACCAAGAAGTGTGGGTATCTGTCCATCTAGTGGTCAGCATACTAGATCACCAAGAAGTGTGGGTATCTGTCCATCTAGTGGTCAGCATACTTGATCACCAAGAAGTGTGGGTATCTGTCCATCTAGTGGTCAGCATACTAGATCACCAAGAAGTGTGGGTATCTGTCCATCTAGTGGTCAGCATACTTGATCACCAAGAAGTGTGGGTATCTGTCCATCTAGTGGTCAGCATACTTGATCACCAAGAAGTGTGGGGTATCTAGATCACCAAGAAGTGTGGGTATCTATCTAGTGGTCAGCATACTTGATCACCAAGAAGTGTGGGTATCTGTCCATCTAGTGGTCAGCATACTAGTGTCAGCATACTAGATCACCAAGAAGTGTGGGTATCTGTCCATCTAGTGGTCAGCATACTTGATCACCAAGAAGTGTGGGTATCTGTCCATCTAGTGGTCAGCATACTTGATCACCAAGAAGTGTGGGTATCTGTCCATCTAGTGGTCAGCATACTTGATCACCAAGAAGTGTGGGTATCTGTCCATCTAGTGGTCAGCATACTTGATCACCAAGAAGTGTGGGTATCTGTCCATCTAGTGGTCAGCATACTAGATCATCCAAGAAGTGTGGGTATCTGTCCATCTAGTGGTCAGCATACTTGATCACCAAGAAGTGTGGGTATCTGTCCATCTAGTGGTCAGCATACTTGATCACCAAGAAGTGTGGGTATCTGTCCATCTAGTGGTCAGCATACTTGATCACCAAGAAGTGTGGGTATCTGTCCATCTAGTGGTCAGCATACTTGATCACCAAGAAGTGTGGGTATCTGTCCATCTAGTGGTCAGCATACTTGATCACCAAGAAGTGTGGGTATCTGTCCATCTAGTGGTCAGCATACTTGATCACCAAGAAGTGTGGGTATCTGTCCATCTAGTGGTCAGCATACTTGATCACCAAGAAGTGTGGGTATCTGTCCATCTAGTGGTCAGCATACTTGATCACCAAGAAGTGTGGGTATCTGTCCATCTAGTGGTCAGCATACTTGATCACCAAGAAGTGTGGGTATCTGTCCATCTAGTGGTCAGCATACTTGATCACCAAGAAGTGTGGGTATCTGTCCATCTAGTGGTCAGCATACTTGATCACCAAGAAGTGTGGGTATCTGTCCATCTAGTGGTCAGCATACTTGATCACCAAGAAGTGTGGGTATCTGTCCCATCTAGTGGTCAGCATACTTGATCACCAAGAAGTGTGGGTATCTGTCCCATCTAGTGGTCAGCATACTTGATCACCAAGAAGTGTGGGTATCTGTCCCATCTAGTGGTTAGCATACTCAATCACCAAGAAGTGTGGGTATCTGTCTATCTAGTGGTTAGCATACGTGATCACTAAAAAGTGTTCTGCATTTAATCTCCAGCAGAAAAAAGTTTATATCTCTCACCAGTTATGATCTGGGATAGGTCCAGCCTGAAACTTCTGAAAGATGACCGGTATAATCGGGTTTCCATCTACACATGACATTTACTAAAGGCTCTTCAATAAAAAAAATATTTAAAAAAGAGGTTGCTTCCTAAATGAGTTAACTCTGACATTTGTCATCAATCCTATGTCAGAAAGTTACATGGAAAACATACCCGACATCTGCTGGTTGCCTCTTCCAGCTCTGAAAGTAGGAACGGATACAAGCTCGGATAGTGGTGGAAGAAAGCTCGCCCAGTCTGGCTGTGAAGGAAGCAAAAGGAAATGTTTTATACATATGCACATTTAAAAAAGACCCCCCCCCCCCCCCCCCCCCAACAACAAAAAACCACACACGCATGTGTGCACACACACACACACACATTATCAAGCATGTCTCCACTGGGCTGGTCATGAAGATATCCAATCATTCATGTCCATCGTACTGTCTTGCACCCTTTTCTATAATTCCATAAATAAATAAAACAACAATAACAAATCAAATCAGCACATTGAGAGTTCATTACGCGACCTTGGACATGTTGACTGTTTCTGAGTTTACATTTTTATTTGCATTTTTTGCCTTCATGATTATAATGTCTGCTTGACAACTGCTGCACGACCCAGAAAGGTAAATCAATTAACTATAGCTTTAGTTCAAGAGGTACCAACTATTGAATGGTACCTTTTAGTACCAGGTCATGGGAAAAGTCTTGACACCAACATTGCCCTTTTCAGGATTCTGATGACCTGAATGCCAGTGTCTCGGACTGAAGAGTCCCCAGTGCGGGTCCCAGGACCCCACATTTGGGGGACAAACCCATAAACCAACTGCCTCTCAACAAACATGTTGTAAAAGGTGACTAAATTAAAGATTGGGATATACTGGCCCGAAAGGCACAAATAACACAGCCTAGTTGAAACTACAACATGCTAACTGCCGTTACAAGGTCTCATGCGGAAGATGTAGAAGACTCAATGGTTAAGAGTTCTGACAAGGATTCATAAAGCCAACAACAATGCATTGATTCTGCTGAGCCTACTGCTAATAAACATGGTATAATCAAAGTGTATTGCATGTGAAGTTTCAACAACAACCAAAAAGCCTCAGTGAATAAGTAACCTACCAGTTCTTCTTGGACATGTTGGTTTCATCAACAACAACAACAACAACCCCAGTGAACAAGTAACCTACCAGTTCTTCTTGGACATGTTGGTTTCATCAACATCATCAACAACCCCAGTGAACAAGTGACCTACCAGTTCTTCTTGGACATGTTGGTTTCATCAACATCAACAACAACAACAACAACCCCAGTGAACAAGTGACCTACCAGTTCTTCTTGAACATGTTGGTTTCATCAACAACAACAACAACAACAACCCCAGTGAACAAGTGACCTACCAGTTCTTCTTGGACATGTTGGTTTCATCAACAACAACAACCCCAGTGAACAAGTAACCTACCAGTTCTTGTTGGACATGTTGGTTTCATCAACAACAACAACAACAACAACAACAACAACAACCCCAGTGAACAAGTGACCTACCAGTTCTTCTTGGACATGTTGGTTTCATTAACAACAACAACAACAACAACAACCCCAGTGAACAAGTGACCTACCAGTTCTTCTTGGACATGTTGGTTTCATCAACATCAACAACAACAACAACAACCCCAGTGAATAAGTGACCTACAGTTCTTCTTGGACATGTTGGTTTCATCAACATCAACAACAACAACAACAACCCCAGTGAGCAAGTGACTTACCAGTTCTTCTTGGACATGTTGGTTTCATCAACATCAACAACAACCCCAGTGAACAAGTGACTTACCAGTTCTTCTTGGACATGTTGGTTTCATCAACATCAACAACAACAACAACAACAACAACAACAACCCCAGTGAACAAGTGACCTACCAGTTCTTCTTGGACATGTTGGTTTCATCAACAACAACAACAACAACAACCCCAGTGAGCAAGTGACCTACCAGTTCTTCTTGGACATGTTGGTTTCATCAACATCAACAACAACAACTAAGTGACCTACAGTTCTTCTTGGACATGTTGGTTTCATTCATCAACAGTTTCTTGTTGGACATGTTGGTTTCAACAACAACAGAAAAACCTCAGTGAATAAGTGACCTACCAGTTCTTCTTGGACATGTTGGTTTCATCAACAACAACAACAACCCCAGTGAACAAGTGACTTACCAGTTCTTCTTGGACATGTTGGTTTCATCATCAACAACCCCAGTGAACAAGTGACTTACCAGTTCTTCTTGGACATGTTGGTTTCATCATCAACAACCCCAGTGAACAAGTGACTTACCAGTTCTTCTTGGACATGTTGGTTTCATCAACAACAACAACAACCCCAGTGAACAAGTGACTTACCAGTTCTTCTTGGACATGTTGGTTTCATCAACATCAACAACAACAACAACCCCAGTGAACAAGTGACTTACCAGTTCTTCTTGGACATGTTGGTTTCATCAACATCAACATCAACAACAACAACAACAACCCCAGTGAACAAGTGACTTACCAGTTCTTCTTGGACATGTTGGTTTCATCAACATCAACATCAACAACAACAACAACAACCCCAGTGAACAAGTGACCTACCAGTTCTTCTTGGACATGTTGGTTTCATCCTTGCTGCGCTTGACTCCGAACATCCTGGTCATGAGAGCACTGAGCAACAACGTGGCCGAGTTCTGTACCTGGCACACACAGGGATATGTTACACGTGGAGTATATCACACACAGGCATACGTTACACGTGGAGTTTATCCCATACATGGATACATTACCCATGGAGTTTAATACACACCGTAACTTCTGTTCCCTCGTTTAGTATTAAGGGTTTAGCATTACAGGCCCAAAGGTTAGTAAAGAGAGACGTAAAATTGGGGCATCTTGCGTTCATTGGGCTTCCAGGTAGGAATGTATGAATGTATGATGTGTTTCTTGGGACTGAAGGAGTTAAACATAAGATTTGTGTTGAATATAAAATATGTCGGAATATAAACCATGTCAGCTTCAAAGAGCTGTCATCTGAGATTGTAAACGGATTAGTTCCCATGACTAATAAATATTCTCACGCCATAGTCTCTAAGAACTAAATGTACCAACTTCTGGCCTCTAACCACATTGATTAACAGTGCCTCTAGAAGAAGGTAAATGATGCCAAACCCTTGCTGCCATGTAGGACGTCAGTACATGGGAAAAAGCCTGGGACTAAACCAAGAAATATAAAATAGAGACAGTTGCCAGAACTGATATCAGCATAATTCTGACACTGCTTATGTCACACACACTCAATGTATGGCTGTTGCTCCTCCTATGACACTGAGGTGGAGAACAGGTATGGACACTTCTGTTCTGGATATACATGCTTGCAATGTACATAAAATTCCTGCTTCAACATTAATTAGTGTGGAGACAACATGGGGTATAACTCTGATGCACAAGAATATGCTGAGAAAAGATGCCACGTGATGGCCATTTAATTTTTTTAAAAATGGCAATTTATTGTCAGAAATTTCTGGAACTTTGTAAAGGGAGACGACTACAACCAGCAGATGAGAAGAGAGCCTAGCAGTCAAAACAATCCCCAGCGTGATGGCCGCTTCCCATGTTCATAAAGTACATTAATTCACATTCAAAGATTACGGAGGAAAGTTTTTACTTCAAGCAAATTTTCTCATCTCAAGAATGTATGAAATATTTGATTTGTGAAACAGTCATTCAGTTACATATATAGGACCTCTGTTAAAAAAAAAACAAAAAAACTGGCCACTGAATTTCCTATCAACATGGCCGCAGGAGTGGATCTGATGGGTCACTGCACAAACTCAGATTCACAATTTAAACAGAGACTAAAAAACAAAAAATACCAGCACATGCAGATATGATGACAACACACAAATATGCACAGGGATAAATAACAAATGACAGAGAGGTAGAGACAGAGACAGAGAGAGAGAGAGAGAGAGAGAGAGAGAGAGAGATAAAGAGATAGACACAGAGATAGAAAAAAAAAGGGGGGGGGGTGTGAGGGAATTTATTATACATTAAGAGAGAGAAAGAGGATAAATAACTTACTGCCCACTGCTCAGATTTGAACCCAAGGATTGAAGCTTTCAAACCGTCTGCAACATATGGCACTACCTCTTCGCCAAGACGAGCATCTCTATACAAAGCTCTCAGGATGTTCAGTGCATGAACCTAGCAAGAACACAGTACCCAAAAAAAAACAGTATCAAGTAAAACAGCAAGAGGGAAATATAACAGCAAGTTATTCAGTCACACTGAATTTAGTCACATTCCTTCTAGTGGCTTGTGAAGTGATACAGCCATCATCGAAGACTGATTCAGTCACATTCCTTCTAATTGCTAGTGAAGTGATACAGCCATCACCGGAGACTGATTCAGTCACATTTCTTCTAGTTGCTAGTGAAGTGATACAGCCATCACCAAAGACTGATTCAGTCACATTCCTTCTAATTGCTAGTGAAGTGATACAGCCATCATCGAAGACTGACTCACATTGCTTCTAGTTGCTAGTGAAGTGATACAGCCATCACCGGAGACTGACTCAGTCTCATTCCTTCTGGTTAAAAGTTGCAATTGATTTGGCCGCCTAGCTGTAAGTCACAACACAATGTGTCAATGGTACTTTGAAGGCAAATGCAGAAAAGAAATGTAAAATGTCTAAGAAGAGATGTTTTATCAAGAAGCCAGGCTAAGGAAAACATCAATCCAATGAGTAATTTTAATAATGAAAATGATGATGCAGTGGTGGGGATAATGGTGGGCAGCAGACAAAAAAAAAGTGTGCACCGATGGATGCACGGATGGATGGAGGAATTACCAAAAGTATTTGACCCTTTTTTTTAAAAGTGTTTCCGGAGCGAAAATGTTAGAAGCATGATCTTAATCTCTTGAAAACTAATTGATAAATTTATTTCTGCACTTCTTCTTCTTCTGTGTGTTTACCAGCTGTAAGCTCTGGCGGAAAGTTCTGTTTGCTCATCCACTGCAGTCATGTTCCAGAACCTGAGTGTTGCATGCGCATCAGTTTTACAGTTCTGACTCATCTGTATGCAGACAGTTGGTTCCATGACTCTCATGCAGATGCACTCCGACTTCGAAGGAAGCTCCCAGTGAATCGACTCTTATGTCATGCCTTTGGGTAGGCAGTAGGTCTATTCTTGTTTTTCCTATAATAGGGCCCCAGAACCCACACGGGGAATTTCTGCGTTTGAAAGAGTTCTACTGGATGTAAATGTAAATCTTCTCAAGAAACAATGAGACAAACCTGTGCCTGACTGGACTGAAGTCTGTCCTCTCTCACATGTGACAAGGCTAGGATCAGCAGCTCCTTCATGACACTGTGAAAGCACTTTCTGCCGCCCGTGGCAGGCTCTGTGGAAGTCACTGCCTAGATGGTCAGATGATAAACAACTGGTTAAATACATGCACATATAAACTAGTCGACAGCAAAGACTAATTTAGTCAGATAACAGACATTACAAATAAATACATGTACTGACCCTGAGTGGCAGCACATACCATTAGCTGTCTTGTTCTTAGAGAAATGAATGAATGAGCTCCGTCCTTTTCTTCAGTAACCAACGAAGAGCCGACATGATAACAGTACCAGTTAAATCCTGATTAAAAGCCGGCCTCTGTTTCATCTTCATTGTTGAATATCTTCCAGAACTTCTACATCCTCCACTCAATTAGTCTTAGAGGAGCTGCTGGCCAAACTGTTAAGAATATAGGGCTCTCATGCAGGGGACCTGGGTTTGAATCCTCTGTAAGGTTATAGGTTTCTTCTGTCAAGGGCACAAATAAAATCCTAACCTGCACAGTCGGTGGCGATGGCATTAGCATCGCAGGCAGCAACAGCAGCTAGGCAGTCTCATTTTAAACCATCTAACAACAACAACAACAACAATAAAATAAAGTTCATTAGTTCATTCACTCCTAGAAAACCAAATTCAAAACTAATGTAGAGATAATAAAGTTCACCTGTACAAAAAATGGAACACCTGCACTTCTTCGTGTTGAGCACAGTTTTGAATCTGGGTCATCAGACTTTATGCTGTCTATCACATCAGACAACCACTGGGCCGGCAATAGGTGAAAGGAGGTCAGGTGGTGGCTGAAGAAACAATAAAAGGACTATATCACCCAATCAATGAACATGATCTTGGGCTTCATTAAAATATATCAACCAAAGGTAAATGACATGCTCCTAACTCAATTTTCTTCAGTGTCACCCAACTACCATTTCAAGCCAGCTTCTTTACTGTTTAGGAAGTCATCCTTGTATATCAAGTTTTCTTCACTGGTGGATAGTGACCTTCACAAGTCAGTGCCTTTCAATGTTAACATCACCACTCACAAGTCAGTGCCTTTCAATGTTAACATCACCACTCACAAGTCAGTCCCTTTCAATGTTAACATCTCCACTCACAAGTCAGTGCCTTTCAATGGTAACATCACTACTCACAAGTCAGTCCCTTTCAATGTTAACATCTCCACTCACAAGTCAGTGCCTTTCAACGGTAACATCACTACTCACAAGTCAGTCCCTTTCAATGTTAACATCACCACTCACAAGTCAGTGCCTTTCAATGTTAACATCTCCACTCACAAGTCAGTGCCTTTCGATGTTAACATCACCACTCACAAGTCAGTGCCTTTCAATGTTAACATCTCCACTCACAAGTCAGTGCCTTTCAATGTTAACATCACCACTCACAAGTCAGTCCCTTTCAATGTTAACATCACCACTCACAAGTCAGTGCCTTTCAATGTTAACATCACCACTCACAAGTCAGTGCCTTTCAATGTTAACATCACTACTCACAAGTCAGTGCCTTTCAATGTTAACATCACCACTCACAAGTCAGTGCCTTTCAATGTTAACATCACCACTCACAAGTCAGTGCCTTTCAATGTTAACATCACCACTCACAAGTCAGTCCCTTTCAATGTTAACATCACCACTCACAAGTCAGTGCCTTTCAATGTTAACATCACCACTCACAAGTCAGTGCCTTTCAATGTTAACATCACCACTCACAAGTCAGTGCCTTTCAATGTTAACATCACCACTCACAAGTCAGTGCCTTTCAATGTTAACATCACCACTCACAAGTCAGTGCCTTTCAATGTTAACATCACCACTCACAAGTCAGTGCCTTTCAATGTTAACATCACCACTCACAAGTCAGTCCCTTTCAATGTTAACATCACCACTCACAAGTCAGTGCCTTTCAATGTTAACATCACCACTCACAAGTCAGTGCCTTTCAATGTTAACATCACCACTCACAAGTCAGTGCCTTTCAATGTTAACATCACCACTCACAAGTCAGTCCCTTTCAATGTTAACATCACCACTCACAAGTCAGTGCCTTTCAATGTTAACATCACCACTCACAAGTCAGTCCCTTTCAATGTTAACATCACCACTCACAAGTCAGTCCCTTTCAATGTTAACATCACCACTCACAAGTCAGTGCCTTTCAATGTTAACATCACCACTCACAAGTCAGTGCCTTTCAATGTTAACATCACCACTCACAAGTCAGTCCCTTTCAATGTTAACATCACCACTCACAAGTCAGTGCCTTTCAATGTTAACATCACCACTCACAAGTCAGTCCCTTTCAATGTTAACATCACCACTCACAAGTCAGTCCCTTTCAATGTTAACATCACCACTCACAAGTCAGTCCCTTTCAATGTTAACATCACCACTCACAAGTCAGTGCCTTTCAATGTTAACATCACCACTCACAAGTCAGATTCCTATCTCATTTGCTGTTACACAGTCATCCCTCATCCACTGTTTATAAAGTCATCTGTGAGAGTTAAACTCTTTCACTGTTTGATCAGCTTGTTTGCATTCACCAGCTGTAAACCCAGACCTCAAGTCCTGGTTGTTCATCCATTTATCCAGACATGGAGACTATTGGTTCCTTGTCTCTCAGGCAGATGCACTCCAACTTCAAAGGTGTCATATACCTACTGTCCATGTGTATGAATGTACAACATGAGTTAAGTATAACAGTGGTAAAGTAACAATCTTAGCGACAAAAGTCACGCACGAAATAAATACAGGTTTCCCCTGTAAAAACTGAAATGAGCATACAAAGATGTGACTTGACAGAAGAAAGAGAGTTAAAATGTTTTGGACCTGGAGAAGACTGACTGATGGTCCCTCGACTCTGCCATTTGTTGAAGTGTTCACGGTTGTGATCTGGTATGCTGTCGATGCCATGGATGTACCCAGGTAAACAATCGTTAATGCAACTGAAAGCCAGCATAAGCCAGCTCAAAGGCACCTCTGTGAATAGATTCCAGGAGCTGAGTGGTGAAGTATTCTCCAATAACCTTGACCTGTAGGACCAAGACCACAATACTGACATGAGGTAGGAGTCTGCTGACAATGCAAACATCTACAAATCTGTTAAAGGGAACCTGACCAATCAAAGCTTGATCTCAGCCAGCCTCTATTTGCTGCTGAATGATGATCTCCTACAAATGTGATGTTTCTGGATCAGTCTGGCATCATTTCACTGGTTTCTGAGTTTGAAAAGTGGAAGGACGGCCATGTAACTCTGGTAAGAGAATGGTGCTCTGGTACCAGGTTGGAACCCAACAGTGTGAGAGCCAAAATATCTGATAGTCTTCTTCCTGGCCTTCAATGGCTGTAGACTCCAGCGGAAAGTTCTGGTTGTTTAGCCACTTTTAGACCTTGGTCTTGTTCCAGAACTTGAGTTTTGCAGGCACATCCATTTTACATATCTGGCTTATTTGTATGCAGGCTGTTGCAGGCACATCCATTTTACATATCTGACTTTTTTGTATGCAGGCTGTTGCAGGTATATGCACTGGCGTTCTCAGACAAGAGCTCATTTATCATCCTTTTCTTCATCACACACACTGCCAACGGGGACATTCGTGATTCACCATCTCACACAATCACCAGAATCTCAGATCAGTTAGGTGCTCTTAAGTGTATTCTGTGATTATTAAAACTGCCTGTGTGCTTCAACATTGTAAACCCCAGGTTGTACAGAATCGTGTTCTGAAGAACTGTCAAAGGTTTACAGAAGTGTTAACACAGATATGTGAAGGTTGTACAGAATCGTGTAAGGTATATACTGTCAAAATAAAACCGTAGGATCCTTGCCAGGGAGCTACACAGTGTTTGGTGAACTAAGCTAGAGCATAACACAATATTGACAGTATGTTTGGGTCAGAGACTATATCTTAACCCTAGGATCCTGTGGCTACACAGTCTGACTGAGTGTGATGATGATAATCATGGGTCAGAGACTATTCTTATATGATCCTGTGGATCTGATAGTGTGATGAAGATGATCACAGAATTCAACTGACCAATGAATTAACCAACCAATCAGTCAACTAACAGAGCAATTTGTAATTCAACTACCCAACCAAACAATCTATCAACCAATCCACAATCTATCAACCAATCCACAATCTATCAACCAATCCATAACCAATCAATTATCTGACCGACCACAAAGAAAACCTCAAGTCCCTTGACAATAAATCAACCCACTGATAAATGAACAACTCACCTGCTGCAGGGACAGTAGGCTACTCTGTGTACCAACTTCTGCCATCTGGGCAGGAGGAATTTGCAAGCACATGTTTCCCAGGGTCAAGGACACTTCCTTGATGCTCCTCCAGCAGCAGACGACAAGGTACTCTGGCATGGACTCCACCAGAGCTCGACTGGTACTGGCCACGTCAGACTGGTCTGTGGTTTGTGGTTCCATGTCTGCAAGAAGAACAACGTTTATGACAATCCAGAAATGAAATGTCATTTACATTTTCTTGTAATTTAAAACAACTGAGTGCTGAAAAATGATGTGTGCCCAATGGTATAGGCACTACTGTCTGTGATCAAATGACAGAAAAAGTGATGTGTGATGTAGGCAATATATTCCATCACCAAATGACATAAAGGATGATGTGTGGTGTAGGCAATGTATTCCATCACCAAATAACATAAAGGGTGACGTGTGGTGTAGGCAATGTATTCCATCATCAAATGACATAAAGGGTGATGTGCGGTGTAGGCAATGTATTACATCACCAAATTACAGAAAGAGTGATGTGTGATGTAGGCAATGTATTCCATCACCAAATGACATAAAGGGTGACGTGTGGTGTAGGCAATGTATTCCATCACCAAATGACATAAAGGGTGACGTTTGGTGTAGGCAATGTATTCCATCACCAAATGATAGAAAGAGTGATGTGTGGTGTAGGCAATGTATTAAATCACCAAATGACAGAAAGAGTGATGTATGGTGTAGGCAATGTATTTCATCACCAAATGACATACAAATTTATGTGTCATGTAGGCAATGTATGCAATCACCAAATGACAGAAAGAGTGATGTGTGGTGTAGGCAATGTATTACATCACCAAATGACAGAAAGAGTGATATGTGGTTTAGGCAATGTATTACATCACCAAATGACAGAAAGATTGATGTTTGGTGTAGGCAATCTATTCCATCACCAAATGACATACAAATTTATGTGTCATGTAGGCAATGTATTCTATCACCAAATGGCCTAAAAACAGTGACATAACGGGTGCTTTACTAAGCACCGTATATTCTAATGGACTCTATGGCCCACTTTTGCTGCTGTACTGGTAGGCAGAAACAAAGATATGATAACTGGATATATAACTCTGATACCACTGTGGTGGCTAACCTGTGCTAAACACTAGCTAATCTTGCATAAATGTTCACATGATACCGCACCAACAAAAAAAAACAACCATAATGCAGTTCATCTAACACAAGGATTTACTTTCATCTGAACCCGGCAGGCGGAGCTCCAGGATGTTACCAATGTTTAGTCCAGGGCCAAGTAAAGCTTCCGGAATATTGCCCTCTGGTGAAGAGTTCTGCACAACAGGAGAGACTACTCTGGACAGATTTAGACAGCTAGTGATCAGGTGCTGGATAAACTCCCTTGCTGCTGGGACCATTTCCGGCGGCAGCTTTCTGAAACAAAATTTTCACAAAGGTCATTGTTAGGGGCAATCCTTGGAATAACTACATTTCACATTTTACACCTGAAGTAAAGACTTGATATTTTATACCTCAGTAGCAATATTTGTTATGGTACTTGGGACTATCCTCATTCAGCAGATGGCATTCACAGAATCCCAGAATCATACTGGCCGGGCACAGTTTAATTCTGCCACTATCAGAGCAGAAACCATTAACAACCAAGCATATTTATAGGGCCTACTACAGCAAACAGAAAAGAACAAATGTATCCTTATTTCAAGAACTGAATATTGAAGAAGGTAGGCTATTAAAGTAAAACACACACAAAATATTGAAATATTCTGGTCACTTGAAATGTCGTGAAAGTTTAGAGAGAACAATAATGGAGGGGTATATGCCTGGGAAGAGAGAAAGAGGAAGGCCAAAGAGAAGATGGGTGCAGGAAGTAGCAGATGATCTCCAGATGGGTGTATCGGCCGCGGGACATCTTGCTTGTGATGGAGAAGTTTTCCAGAAGCTTGTAATTGGAGAAAGGTTCTGCAAGGGACATGCTAGAGACTGACGTGACTACAGCATGACGCAGAAGACATAACTTGTAGTACTTACTTGAAGTTCATCTCCTGCATGATGTACCTAATGCAGTGTAAGGTCGGATACATGGGCCTGTTTGCTGCTGCTGTTATCAAGCTCTGGTTAGCCACAGATATCTGGCTGTCCAGGAGTGACAGGAGAATGTTCTGCAGCATCAACGGGGCTGTCATTTTCTCTGACTGTATCAATGTCCGGACTGGCAGGAGCACTTCACAAGGAATGATATCTGCATACACAAACATAATACAATAGATTCACTCACTAAATTACCTTTTTTTTTTTATCTTTGTGTTCAAACAGGGAAATTCAACTGGTGGCCTTGCTAGAGTCTCTCGCAATCTCCATTTACGAAGTGCACAAATGGGTACTTCCGAAAATTATTCTTTACCTCCACTCCGCAAGGTACAAGTGGATCCAGATACGAAGAGATGATATCCGTTTTACAGATTTGGGCAATTTCTATGCAGACTGTTGGCTCCTAATTCTCAGGCACTCTGACTTTAGGCAAACACATCTAATTAGTTGTCTTGTAAGACATGCTTGTTTCTATACTTGTTTCCTTAAATGAAGTTCCAGAACCTACATGGGGAAACTAAAACTAAGTGGGACGATTTTCTCACCTGGCAGCTCAAACAGACTAAAATGATCATGTTCTTACCTGACAACTGGAAGTGAGCAGGATGACATTCATGGTGTTTCAGTACCAACAACAGACTGAAATGATCATGTTCTTACCTGACAACTGGAAGTGAACAGGATGACATTCATGGTGTTTCAGTACCAACAACAGACTGAAATGATCATGTTCTTACCTGACAACTGGAAGTGAACAGGATGACATTCATGGTGTTTCAGTACCAACAACAGACTGAAATGATCATGTTCTTACCTGACAACTGGAAGTGAACAGGATGACATTCATGGTGTTTCAGTACCAACAACAGACTGAAATGATCATGTTCTTACCTGACAACTGGAAGTGAACAGGATGACATTCATGGTGTTTCAGTACCAACAACAGACTGAAATGATCATGTTCTTACCTGACAACTGGAAGTGAACAGGATGACATTCGAGGTGTTTCAGTACCAACAACAGACTGAAATGATCATGTTCTTACCTGACAACTGGAAGTGAACAGGATGACATTCATGGTGTTTCAGTACCGACAACAGACTGAAATGATCATGTTCTTACCTGACAACTGGAAGTGAACAGGATGACATTCGAGGTGTTTCAGTACCAACAACAGACTGAAATGATCATGTTCTTACCTGACAACTGGAAGTGAGCAGGATGACATTCGAGGTGTTTCAGTACCAACAACAGACTGAAATGATCATGTTCTTACCTGACAACTGGAAGTGAGCAGGATGACATTCGAGGTGTTTCAGTACCAACAACAGACTGAAATGATCATGTTCTTACCTGACAACTGGAAGTGAGCAGGATGACATTCGAGGTGTTTCAGTACCAACAACAGACTGAAATGATAATGTTCTTACCTGACAACTGGAAGTGAACAGGATGACATTCGAGGTGTTTCAGTACCAACAACAGACTGAAATGATCATGTTCTTACCTGACAACTGGAAGTGAACAGGATGACATTCATGGTGTTTCAGTACCAACAACAGACTGAAATGATTATGTTCTTACCTGACAATTGGAAGTGAACAGGATGACATTCGAGGTGTTTCAGTACCAACAACAGACTGAAATGATCATGTTCTTACCTGACAACTGGAAGTGAACAGGATGACATTCATGGTGTTTCAGTACCAACAACAGACTGAAATGATCATGTTCTTACCTGACAACTGGAAGTGAACAGGATGACATTCGAGGTGTTTCAGTACCAACAACAGACTGAAATGATCATGTTCTTACCTGACAACTGGAAGTGAACAGGATGACATTCATGGTGTTTCAGTACCGACAACAGACTGAAATGATCATGTTCTTACCTGACAACTGGAAGTGAGCTATGACACTTTTTTGATGTCACCAAATAGCTTTGCTCATCATGATCAAACAACAGCTCTGACTATTGGCCCTGTCACCAAATGGCTTTGCTCTCATGATCACAACAGCTCTGACTATTGGCCCTGTCACCAAATGGCTTTGCTCTCATGATCACAACAGCTCTGACTATTGGCCCTGTCACCAAATGGCTTTGCTCTCATGATCACAACAGCTCTGACTATTGGCCCTGTCACCAAAATGGCTTTGCTCTCATGATCACAACAGCTCTGACTATTGGCCCTGTCACCAAATGGCTTTGCTCTCATGATCACAACAGCTCTGACTATTGGCCCTGTCACCAAATGGCTTTGCTCTCATGATCACAACAGCTCTGACTATTGGCCCTGTCACCAAATGGCTTTGCTCTCATGATCACAACAGCTCTGACTATTGGCCCTGTCACCAAATGGCTTTGCTCTCATGATCACAACAGCTCTGACTATTGGCCCTGTCACCAAATGGCTTTGCTCTCATGATCACAACAGCTCTGACTATTGGCCCTGTCACCAAATGGCTTTGCTCTCATGATCACAACAGCTCTGACTATTGGCCCTGTCACGAAATGGCTTTGCTCTCATGATCACAACAGCTCTGACTATATGGCCACATGACACCGACAGGATGAGCTTTATTCAGCTCCTGACCCAACAACATGCTTCTATGGCACACACAGTTCAGGAGTTTGTAAAGGACTGTATGCAGATTTCTCCATAACTGCTCCTGTCACCTCCTAAAGATCACACCGGAAGAACCTCAGCTTAGTGCACCAACTTCAAAGCAATAGAGACAATGAGAAACCGGTGAGAATCAGACACAAGACTCACAAATGCTATAAATAATCTTCTGTAAATGGCTTTTCTAAATTGAAACCTTGCTGGGGCAGTGACCTCTTTAGAATGCCTTTTTTTTTTTAATTTTATTTATATTTTTGATTATTTTGTTCTAGTTTAAGAGAGCATGATGTTTGATCCACTACATGTTTGATCCACTGCATGTTTGATCCACTACATGTTTGATCCACTACATGTTTGATCCACTACATGTTTGATCCACTACATGTTTGATCCACTACATGTTTGATCCACTACTCAGGATCACTGGAGTTGTCCACCCTTGTTTAGTTTGTACAAGCCAATACCATGCACACACTGTGGGTGGAGCAGGCTCCACTGAAACAACAGAGTTACTTACCCAGATACAGCCCTGGTGGCTCAGGTACACAGCTAAGACTTTGAGAGCTTCTCTCTTGTTCTCCTCGAACGTGTCTGCCAGGCACTCCAGCAGAGTCTGGATGTGTCGTGGTGTCAGCCATGCTGGCAGACTGAAGCCATCCTCTCCTGAAACAACACACAATGAAAGTGACCACTGATGCCTTAGACAGATCATCTTTTCACAGAAACTTCCACAGCCACAGCTTCTTCCTTGGCCTGTATCCATCCGTCAAGCAAAGACCCTCAACCGAATGATGTTAAAAGACGCAGAGTGTTTCTTAGGTAGCTTTTATAATTGTAGTCTCTTTTACAGGATGATGTAGGTGACCCAAATTCAACCCTACCCATAATCCCCTCTTACGACTGCTTGGTAGGCTACAGGATTACAATTCGTTACTTCCCCTAGGAGCCCTCATTATATGCAAATAAGAGCCGGAAATCAACACTTTCTTTCATCACTTTCTCAATATAGTGCACCACATGAAGTAACTAACAACTGAATTTTAATTTGTCCAACTCCACTTAACAATGGCTGCAAACACTGAGAAATGCATGCCAAACAGGAAAGTAAATCACATAAACCATCTTTCATTTCCCTGCTGCTGAAATTCACTGCTGGTAATCTGTGAGATGAGATGTGGTGACCTTTAGGTTTAAAGTTAAAAGGTTAAGGTCAAGAGGATCCGCTACACTGCCTCTAGTTTTTACCCATATGGCTCTGTCTTTATCCACAGAAGAGCTAGCCATTTGACAAACCCACAACCCAAAGTACAAACACTGTGGCTCCAGTGACAACCACCTGAGGTCCCCATCAAATCTGTACTTATGAACCAAATGGCGCAACTGTGAACAGAACTCATGATCTTCAGAGAACGAGCAGCTGGACCACTTCGTTATGAAGACGATCATAATTTTGCTCTGTCCGAAACAATGTTTCATAATATTCAGACTAATCAGCCCTAAACTGTAGCCCCCATAATGAACCTGCAAGGAGTCAGTTGTTGAGGTAGAACCTTCAGAGCTTTTTTTTTTTTTTTTTTTTTTTTTTTTTTGCGTTCACCGGCTGTGAATTCCGGCGGAAGGTCCCGGTTAATCGTCCGCTTGGACTTTTGGCCTTCACCGGGACCTGATTTTTGCGTGTACAACCGTTTTAATGTTCCCTGCCTCATGGGAATCTGTACTCCGACTTCGAAGGAAGACGTCAGGCCTATTTCTAGGTTGACTGTGGCTATTGTTTTGTGTGGGTCAAGACGTTGCCTGATTTGTGTGGAGTCTACTTTGTCTCCTTCTCCACAGGTATTGCCCCCGGAGTACCCCTTTGGGGCAGCCCCCTGTGGAACAGTTAGCCCTCAAGGGAAGGCAGGGGCAGATCATGGGCATTCCCCGCCATCCAAGGAGGCTTCCATGTATGCAGAGCCGGCACATGGCGCTCTGGTTCTGGGCTCACCCAAGGAATCGTCACGTCCTGCACATGCCTGCTTAACCTCACAACCGTATCAGGCTTCCCGCTTGACAAGAGCTGCGCCCTCTGGAAGTCAGCGGGAAGCAGCCTGTGGATTTTGGACTTTTGTGACCACACGAATAGGCACATTTTTTTTTCTTCGCAGGTTAGATTTCTTTGACGAGCCGTTAGCCCGACGGAATTTTACATCCTGCGTACCGTTATCAGTTTGGTCCCAACACTCGGGCGAGTGGGGTCTTTGGGTGTGGACATTTGGTCTTTTTCCGTTCAGTACAAATTGTGGAGGTCAGATTTTGAGCTCACTCGTGTGCCGTAGGATCTAGTTTTGTCGGACAAGTAGGCTTAGCCAGCCAATGGGCTGTTGCTGTTGTGGTGTACCTCAGCGCGGTGACGACGACACTAAGGGTTACACGAGGATGTACATGGCTGGCCCGCCTATGTATGGTTGCTGTTTTGGTGTACCTCAGCGCGGTGACGACGACACTAAGGGTTACCCGAGGATGTACATGGATAGCCATTCTCTGGATGGTTGCTGTTGTGGTGTACCTCGGCGCGGTGACGACGACACTGAGGGTTATCAGAGGATGTACAGTGAACAATGTTCTCTTCACTCCGCATTCTTTTAACCAAGGGTTGTGATTTTTAGCTGTACGTTTGGCAAGCATACTCATGTTCCTAATGAGTTTTGATAACCCTTTTCATCCAAGCGTTTGGGGGCGGGCTGATGAGAGCCACAAGGACACATCACCTCTGGGGGCCGCCAAGCTCCAAGATCCCCTGACAGCTCTGTTAATGCTCATTTGAGACATTATTCATGGCGCACGACGAGGACGTGCTGCAGGGGTCTTGCGTGAGGTTCCGTAAAACCAGAACAGTGAAGGACTGGCGCCTGAGTGACGTACGGAGTATCTCCTTATACACATCATGTTGGACTCAACTTCCCCTCACGCCTGTGACATAAATCACCGCGCCACACCTTCAGAGCTAAATCAATGTTCTTGTTGAATATTATAGTTGTGGTAGAACATTCAGAGCATTTCTATCATCTTTACTATGACAAGACAATAACAACAAACCGTAGCACCAAAGTAGTTATACCGACAACAGTTCTGATGTATCTATCAGACCTATCACCTCACATTCACTCCTGAAAATCCCACAAAATCTTTGGGCCAGAAAAGTCTTGCTGTAGAAACTAATATTTCTGGAACATACAATCAACCAACCTAATCTCTTGATCTCAAGTAATTCTCAGAGCTTTCTCTTGCAGATGTATGTCCCTTTGTGCATTTTAGTCTTGTAAAGTGTGATTTGAATGAATGGTTGTATGCAAGGCAGTGGTCGCTGTGCCATTGTTTTATCTTCTGATTCCAATAACATCAGTGAATGTAAACATCCGTCATTTTACTTGTCACAATTCGGAATTAATCATTTCACCTGCCATAAACAGACATCCATCATGTTAAAAAGGTGGGGGGAAAACACAATTTAAAGGACTCTGTTCCCACGCTTTCAGGCGTCCTGGGCACACAGGGCTAGACCAATATTTTACAGACCATTCGGCACCTGGTGGGTGATGTGGTCAGCATCAAGCCAGCCGCGTTTACTTCCCAGGACTTTACCTGGTACTCACTTAAGGCTGGGTCGACCTGAGAGCTAAAGTCGTGTTTGAAACAAGTCTGGCTCCACCTGGGAGCTAAAGTCATGTTTGAAACAAAGCTGGCTCCACCTGGGAGCTAGAGTCGTGTTTGAAACAAGGCTGGCTCCACCTGGGAGCTAAAGTCGTGTTTGAAACAAGGCTGGCTCCACCTGGGAGCTAAAGTCGTGTTTGAAACAAGTCTGGCTCCACCTGGGAGCTAAAGTCATGTTTGAAACAAGGCTGGCTCCACCTGGGAGCTAAAGTCATGTTTGAAACAAGGCTGGCTCCACCTGGGAGCTAAAGTTGTGTTTGAAACAAGTCTGGCTCCACCTGGGAGCTAAAGTCGTGTTTGAAACAAGTCTGGCTCCACCTGGGAGCTAAAGTCGTGTTTGAAACAATTCTGGCTCACCTGGGAGCTAAAGTCGTGTGCTGAAACACCACTGGCTCCACCTGGGAGTTAAAGTCATGTTTGAAACAAGTCTGGCTCCACCTGGGAGCTAAAGTCGTGTTTGAAACAATTCTGGCTCCTCTAGGACCTGAACCCACTTCTGGATCAGCAGGCAAAATGTAGTGCTACCTTACAGCAGTCCACAGTTTAACCATGTAGTGTCTTACCTGTCACAGGTAACCATGTAGTGTCTTACCTGTCACAGGTAACCATGTAGTGTCTTACCTGTCACAGGTAACCATGTAGTGTCTTACCTGTCACAGATAACCATGCAGTGTCTTACCTGTCACAGGTAACCATGCAGTGTCTTACCTGTCACAGGTAACCATGTAGTGCCTTACCTGTCACAGGTAACCATGTAGTGTCTTACCTGTCACAGGTAACCATGTAGTGCCTTACCTGTCACAGGTAACCATGTAGTGTCTTACCTGTCACAGATAACCATGTAGTGTCTTGCCTGTCACAGATAACCATGCAGTGTCTTACCTGTCACAGGTAACCTTGCAGTGTCTTACCTGTCACAGGTAACCATGCAGTGTCTTACCTGTCACAGATAACCGTGCAGTGTCTTACCTGTCACAGATAACCGTGCAGTGTCTTACCTGTCACAGATAACCATGCAGTGTCTTACCTGTCACAGATAACCGTGCAGTGCCTTACCTGTCACAAAATAAGTAGACATCAGTGATATAACAGCCAGGCTTGTTGTCCTTCTGGCAAACGCTGACCCAGGATACAGGTTCTCCAACATGTGGTTGGTCAACCAGGTGAGAAAGTTCTTGATATAGAATAAACATTTACAATCAATCTGGGTACTCTGCTAGAGATTTCATTACAAACACTCACAATCAATCAAATCACAAATCAATTGTTGGACTTCTTCCGGCGCCATGGGTATCCGGAACATGTCTTATCTGCTGCCTTTCATGCAGCAATATCTCTCCATCGTGCTGAGGTTCTCGCTTCCAAGCCTAGCCTGCACAATAACAGACCCATTCTCATTCTTACCTACTAGCCTCACAACATCCGTGCTCAAAATATCCTCCTCAAGCATCTCTCCATTATTAGGCCTGACCCCACCACTAGCAAGATTTTCTCTGAACCGCCCCTAGTGGCCTACAGGCACGGCCGTAACCTCAAGGTAATTCTAGTTCAGAGTCGGTTACATCCTGCCTCTGAGTCCCACTTTGGGACGGTCTCTTGACACAGACCTGTATGCAGGACCTGTCCATATGTGGTTCAGGGTACCAGCCTGGAATTCCTGAATGCTACCTTCCACATACGTGAAGCATTCTTTTGCACAAGCTGTTACCTCATTTACACCATCAACTGCAAGAGATATGGCGTTAAATACCATCAACTGCAAGAGATATGGCGTTAAATACAACAGTGAAACGGGTTTATGACTGGCTGACAGGTTCAGATATCTTTTGGATGTGCAGAATGGTGGCCTGAAACAAGTACCGTTGCATTTCAATTCCCATGCTGCAAAAAATGAACATTTCACTAAGGGGACAAGACGTTTCATTTATCAACACACAACAGGCATTTTACACTTGTGGAGTTTTTGACAAGGAAATCGAAGCACTCAGGGATCTATCCAGGGTGCTGTGATGATGATGATCATAATCATCATAAACCACTTCTGCCGTTAAGCGTCATGGGGAGGAATAATTTGCGTTCCAGTGCACGTTGGCTGCCACTGGCTATTGTCATGCCGTGAAGGCGTAGAGTGTCTTTAATGTGATGATAACCCTTAATACTCACAATCAATCTGGGTGTGTCTGCTGGAGGTTTCATCATACACCGTGTTCACAAAGCAAGCTGTCATCTGTACCCCCACAACCCCTTAGACTGAAATATTTGAGCCAAACAAATGCTACAACAGTTTAGAAACAATGGTTTAGAAACAACAGTTTAGAAACAACAGTTTAGAAACAAGAGTTTAGAAACAAGAGTTTAGAAACAAGAGTTTTGAAACAACGGTTTAGAAACAACGGTTTAGAAACAACAGTTTAGAAACAACAGTTTTGAAACAACAGTTTAGAAACAACAGTTTAGAAACAACAGTTTAGAAACAACAGTTTAGAAACAACAGTTTAGAAACAACAGTTTAGAAACAACAGTTTTGAAACAACAGTTTAGAAACAAGAGTTTAGAAACAACAGTTTAGAAACAACGGTTTAGAAACAACGGTTTAGAAACAACAGTTTAGAAACAACGGTTTAGAAACAACGGTTTAGAAACAACGGTTTAGAAACAACGGTTTAGAAACAACGGTTTAGAAAAAACGGTTTAGAAACAACGGTTTAGAAACAACGGTTTAGAAACAACGGTTTAGAAACAACGGTTTAGAAACAACGGTTTAGAAACAACGGTTTAGAAACAACGGTTTAGAAACAAGAGTTTAGAAACAAGAGTTTAGAAACAAGAGTTTAGAAACAAGAGTTTAGAAACAAGAGTTTAGAAACAAGAGTTTAGAAACCACGGTTTAGAAACAACGGTTTAGAAACAACGGTTTAGAAACAACGGTTTAGAAACAACGGTTTAGAAACAACGGTTTAGAAACAACGGTTTAGAAACAACGGTTTAGAAACAACGGTTTAGAAACAACGGTTTAGAAACAACAGTTTATAAACAACAGTTTAGAAACAACAGTTTAGAAACAACGGTTTAGAAACAACGGTTTAGAAACAACGGTTTAGAAACAACGGTTTAGAAACAACAGTTTAGAAACAACAGTTTAGAAACAACAGTTTAGAAACAACAGTTTAGAAACAACAGTTTAGAAACAACGGTTTAGAAACAACGGTTTAGAAACAACGGTTTAGAAACAACGGTTTAGAAACAACGGTTTAGAAACAACAGTTTAGAAACAACAGTTTAGAAACAACGGTTTAGAAACAACGGTTTAGAAACAACGGTTTAGAAACAACGGTTTAGAAACAACAGTTTAGAAACAACAGTTTAGAAACAACAGTTTAGAAACAACAGTTTAGAAACAACAGTTTAGAAACAACGGTTTAGAAACAACGGTTTAGAAACAACGGTTTAGAAACAACGGTTTAGAAACAACGGTTTAGAAACAACGGTTTAGAAACAACAGTTTTGAAACAACAGTTTAGAAACAACGGTTTAGAAACAACGGTTTAGAAACAACGGTTTAGAAACAACAGTTTAGAAACAACAGTTTAGAAACAACAGTTTAGAAACAACAGTTTTGAAACAACAGTTTAGAAACAACAGTTTAGAAACAACAGTTTAGAAACAACAGTTTAGAAACAACAGTTTAGAAACAACGGTTTAGAAACAACGGTTTAGAAACAACAGTTTTGAAACAACAGTTTAAAAACAATGGTTTAGAAACAAGAGTTTAGAAACAACCGTCCTGGAAGGGATAGTCCCTATAAGATACACCCAAGCATATTTTATTCCAAAAAGTTAACTGAAACTATGCACAAAATAACAGTACACTTTTACTGAAATTTTTTTAAGTGGTAATTTAACAGTATTATATTTACCCACAAAAAAATAATACATTAGCTATTTATTTATACCTCATAAAGCAACACAGATTTGGCTAACAAGTCTTCCTGTTTGCCCTTTTTGGTTCGTCTTTTCAGAGCAGCCAGAGATTCTTTGAGTCTGAAAAACAACTGTCGGCAAACAGAAAATGTAAAGAACAAATAACTCGAGACTCTAAAACTTTATGATAATAATTTCAAACAATGGCCATGCTTCTGAAAGGAATATGCAGAAAATCGATTTAAAATTTGAGAATTAACTGTTCTCTTCCAGGTTATATCCGTCCAGGGTTCAAAGCCAAACTGTGCAATTTGTTTCAGCTTTTTCAAGGTATTTTTATTTGTTCATGGTTTCACTAGGCATATTAGGTACTTTATACGTCTGCACAGATGGCGGGTTTACACACAAATTAAATACAGTGTTTCTACAGCTTTTCTAGACTTGGTGGCAGAGGGGAGCTAGCTGATTGGACGATGATTGTTAACATGAGCAAAACTGAATGCCAGGTAGTTTTCAAGGAAATTAAAACAATATGTGCCTTATGTTTTGTGAAAGAAAAACATCAAACCAGCGGGTCATATACTATGTTTAGGCTACAATCTAATATTGAAAGAGACAAGAACTGAAAAATGTTGAGAAAATGGTGCAAGAGAAGAAATAAATGATGAAATATTGACAGCTGTAGTTGTGCTGTTTTTTTTTTTAACCACCAAGAAAAGACAATAGGAACAGTAAAGCAGCCACACATACAAACCTTCCCATACAAACCTTCACGTACAAACATTCATTAAATGAAGAAAGCGCTAGAAATGGAGGCAGAGAATGACAGACGAAGAAAGCTTAAAAGGTGGGTAAAATTAGCCTCCTCAAAATGTCAGATAACGGAGTGAAAAGGGAGAGTCATAGTTTCATAGCTTTCAGGTGAATACTTGAGAGAGAAAGAGAGATACAAAGAGGAAGGAGAGAGAGAGAGAGAGAGAGAGAGAAAGAGAGAGAGACCAGTAGACAAAGTGAGATAATCACGGAAGGTGAGAGAGAAGCACATAGAGCCATAGAGAAGGACTGGGAGAGGGATGTGGGTGTGGGGTGGGGGTAAATAAATACAGAGGTGGTGAGAGAGCTGGGGGGGGGGGGGGGGGGCAACACAATTTAGAGACAGAGAGGAAGAGAGACAGGCAAACCGACACAGTGAGATACAGAGAGTGAGAGGGGAGGGGGAGAGACGAAAAGACAGAGATACAGAAGAAGAGAGACAGAGGCAAACAGATGCAGAGAAGGCGTGACAGAGACAAACAGATATAGAGAAATATAGGCAGGAAGGGGGTAAAGATAAAAAGAAAAAAATAAAGAGAAGGGAAAAGAGAGAGTCAAACAGACACAGAAAGATATAGAGAGGTAGGGAGAGAGATAAGCAAACAGACACAGAGAGATATAGAGAGGTAGGGAGAGAGATAAGCAAACAGATACAGAGAGATATAGAGAGGTAGGGAGAGAGATAAGCAAACAGATACAGAGAGATATAGAGAGGTAGGAAGATAGATAAGCAAACAGACACAGAGAGATATAGAGAGGTAGGGAGAGAGATAAGCAAACAAAGAGAGGTATACAAGGGATGGAGAATAGGCAAACAAAGAGAAATAGATAGGAAGTGAGATTGAAAGCCAGACACAAAGAGAAACAAACATAAAGGTAGAGGAGAAGAAATAGAGAGGGAATGAGACCAACAAACAGAGACACACAGGGAGGGAGGCACACAGAGAGGGAGACACACAGAGAGGGAGACAGACAGGGAGGGAGACACACAGAGAAACAAACATAAAGGTAGAGGGGAAGATATAAGAGAGGGAATGAGACCAACAAACAGAGACACACAGGGAGGGAGACACACAGGGAGGGAGACACACAGAGAAACAAACATAAAGGTAAAGGGGAAGATATAAGTGAGAGAATGAGACCAACAAACAGAGACACACAGGAAGGGAGGCACATGGAGAAGCCAACATAAACAGAGATGGAGTGAAAAACCAGGCAAACAGACTGAGATACAGAGAGGAACACACACAAACAGATACAGAAAGGAACACACACAAAGAGATACAGACAGGAACACACACAAAGAGATACAGACAGGAACACACACACAGAGATACAGACAGGAACACACAAAAAGAGATACAGACAGGAACACACACAAAGAGATACAGACAGGAACACACACACAGAGACACAGACAGGAACACACACAAAGAGAAACAAAGAGCGAGGTAAAGTCACAGAAAGATACAAAGAGGTAGGGAGATACAGACAGAAAGTAAGATGACTGCTGACAAAGCACATTTATAACAAACCTTATTTAGGAGTGACAGAAAGCTCTGTCGGAAAGATGGCATCTGATTGTTCAAGTTGCAAAATATGAAAAACTTCAACATGGAGAATTCAAAGTCTGTAACAGTCTCCGTCGTCTTGTAGTTGTCACAAAGTAAAGCAAAGGCATCCAGTCGAATCTGCGCAGATATAAGAGAGTCAGACCAAAGTTTTTTATTTTTACAAACACTTTAAATAATAGCAACAATAAAACAATGACAACATTTGCTCAAAATCAGATATTCAGAAAATCTACTTATACTTCAATCCTGGCTTCTTTTCTCCAGCCCAGTGGTTACGGTTATCTATCTCCAGCCCAGTGGTTACGGTTATCTATCTCCAGTCCAGTGGTTATGGTTATCTATCTCCAGCCCAGTGGTTACGGTTATCTATCTCCAGTCCAGTGGTTACGGTTATCTATCTCCAGCCCAGTGGTTACGGTTATCTATCTCCAGTCCAGTGGTTATGGTTATCTATCTCCAGCCCAGTGGTTATGGTTATCTATCTCCAGCTAAGTGGTTACGGTTATCTATCTCCAGCCCAGTGGTTATGGTTATCTATCTCCAGCCCAGTGGTTACGGTTATCTATCTCCAGCCCAGTGGTTATGGCTATCTATCTCCAGCCCAGTGGTTATGGTTATCTATCTCCGGCCCAGTGGTTATGGTTATCTATCTCCAGCCCAGTGGTTACGGTTATCTATCTCCAGCCCAAAAAACGGTTATCTATCTCCAGTCCAGTAGTTATGGTTATCTATCTCCAGCCCAGTGGTTATGGTTATCTATCTCCAGCCCAGTGGTTATGGTTATCTATCTCCAGCCCAGTGGTTATCGTTATCTATCTCCAGCCCAGTGGTTACGGTTATCTATCTCCAGCCCAGTGGTTACGGTTATCTATCTCCAGCCCAGTGGTTATGGTTATCTATCTCCAGCCCAGTGGTTACGGTTATCTATCTCCAGCCCAGTGGTTACGGTTATCTATCTCCAGTCCAGTGGTTATGGTTATCTATCTCCAGCCCAGTGGTTATGGTTATCTATCTCCAGCCCAGTGGTTATGGTTATCTATCTCCAGCCCAGTGGTTATGGTTATCTACCTCCAGCCCAGTGGTTATGGTTATCTATCTCCAGCCCAGTGGTTATGGCTATCTCCAGCCCAGTGGTTATGGCTATCTATCTCCAGCCCAATGGTTATGGCCATCTATCTTCAGTCCAGTGGTTATGTATTCATATTTTCATCAAGTCAGGAATGTCTGCTTCAAATGACCTAGGCTTCCAGGATACCATACCATGAACACCCATGTTCTGACCACATGATTGTGGGATCTAAGCTGCAACATCTAATGCAGTCGCAACATGTTCTTACATGCTACAGCAATTCCACTCCTTGGCCGACATTTGCTGACACAAAACACCAAAACCAAACAAATTGCAACAATTTTCACTGAGGTGTGTTTTCATAGCTGCTATTGTTATACAACATACCAAAGACACACCTGTGAATTCCTGCTACAAACAGATTAAAATGAAGCATAATATTCATGAAGCTACAAAATTTTTATTTGCCTCTCAATGTTCAGATGTGATTTTCTGCAAACAGGGATTTAGTACTCATGCACTGCTTTTTGTTTTACTTGATTTATTACTTATGGCTTGCTCTTTGTTTCAGTCTGATCACTTTGTTTCCTCCCACAGCCTAGGTCACCACTGCCAACCCCGTTCAGATTACTTGTTCCACATATCTTTTCCCTGGCCAACTTTTCATTTTCTTATCCAGGCCTAGGCTGGCATAAGTGGACACATGATAATAGCAAAGCAGAATTACAAATCTTCAACAACCAAGCAGACAGCTGCAAAACTTGCTGAAGAATTCTGGTACAATCAGCATTAACTGTAAATAAACATCCAGCTATGTGTAAACTTAAAAATTATACACCCAGAAAACAATATGAAACAAAAGAATACAGCAAGCACAGTTAACAACCTGCTCATCAGCGCTAGACAAGGCAGCTCTCAACATATCTGGCCGCAAATGTCCGTACCACAAGTTGTCACCAGTCACGCAGGGAGCAGGTCTCAGCAGTCCCAACAACTGAGCTCGACGCAGACACATGACAACAGCACCATGGAACGGTTCCACTTCACCTGTAAGTAAAAGGTCACATAGAGAATTCTGTGATATCACTGAACATTGAGCACCATGTCAGATCAAGGTTTAGGGATAGGCAGAGGAAATACTGTCACTGTGTTGCAGTGTCCGAAAGGAACAGAATTTAAAGAAATGCTTGCTGGAAGACAGGGCAGGAGCTGATCAGTAGGGTAGACACCCTGGGCATGAAAATACATAAGGCACAGGAAGTGGTGAATGATCTAGAGTCTTTCTGGCAGGCTGTAGGGACTTGACACATCATGATGATCAACAATCTCATAACATATAAAAGCTGCTTGATCCTAAGTGATGAGGTGTAATCTATGTGTAGAAATGTTCCCCTGAATTTAAGTAACCAATCAGAACAGGTATACACATCAGCTGTTTGATCCATTAGTGATGCTCACATAACAGTCAGCCCGCTCACTGTCTCACACACATCAGGCAGCATATTCATTGTATCACACATGAGATCCAACAAATATTCTCTGCAAAACAATACAGAATTTAAAAATTAATAGAGAGTGACAAGAAACTAAACCTAATCTTAAATTTGAAGAAAAGAAAAATAATATCCACTGACAAAACTGGCTGTCCCCCAGAAGAAAAAATTAATGATTAGGAAATTGAAAATTTCATAAACTGAATACCTAGTCTCCATAATAGGCAGCAATGAAGACTGTCAGACAGAAATCAAAAGGAGGATGGCCATAGAAAAAACACAGATTAAACAGCATTCAAAGTCTGTGGTAAAGTACCAGCAAGGAAATCAACATTAACATTTTGAGAGCATGAATCTTCCCTGTAGCAAACATACGGATGTAGGTCGCGGACTATCTACCTGTCTTTAAGGAAGAAAATAGGGGCTTTTGAGCTGAAATGCCCTAGAAAGATTCTTAAAATATCATGGACAAAAAAGAGAAAAAATACTGACATTCTAAAAGATCTGAACAGCAAGGAAGCTTGGCTAATAAACAGCATCTTGTCTTGGAAGCTGAAATATTTAAGTCATATTAAACGTCATTGCGGATCGAGAAAAAATAATAGCAAAAGGCATGGTACCAGGAAGGAGGCAGGGGCCGACCAACACAAAGATGGGCACAGGATCTAAGTGACTCCTTGAATATGAAAGTACATGAGGCGGGAGAGTTGGCGAGAAACCGAGTTTTTTTTTTTTTCAGGCAGACTGTGATGAGAGCGTCGTTCTGCAAAGGACCTTCTATATGATCATGATGATAAGAAACTGCCCAAATGTACCTGAACTTGTTGCAGAGAGTCGCTGTATCATAAAACTCAACAGCTGGTCATCAGCCTTCATCAGCTTGCCCAGCAGGTACTGAAACATGAGAAAAATGTCCATCAACCATCAGATTTGTATCTTCTACTAGGAAAGATCTATATTTGCTAACATTATTTCACTCAATTATGTTCATCATTTTAACTAGCGATTTGGCCGGCTTCCATGAGTTCATTAGGATTCAAGGGATTCAATGTGATCTCATTTTGAAGGACTTCCAACACAGTAATGAACTACCATCTCCATGGAGACTGTGTTGCAGTTTTTGATTCCCCTCTCTGATCCTGGAAACCAGTGTGGTGTGCAAATCCTGGAAACCAGTGTGGTGTGCAAATCCTGGAAACCAGTGTGGTGTGCAAATCCTGGAAACCAGTGTGGTGTGCAAATCCTGGAAACCAGTGTGGTGTGCAAATCCTGGAAACCAGTGTGGTGTGCAAATCTAGGTCTAGTATTTACAAGTGTGGAGAAATCTTGCGATGCTTATTATCCAAGCTGAGGACATGGATGGTGAAAAGGTAGAACAGTAGAGATAGTAATCCCACACAAACAACAGTAGAGAAGGTAATCCCACACAAACAACAGTAGAGACAACAACTCCCCACAAACAACAGTACCCCACACATACAACAGCAGAGACAATAACCACACACAAACAACAGCAGAGACAATAACCCCACACAAACAACAGTAGAGACAATAACCCCACACAAACAACAGTAGAGACAATAACCCCACACAAACAACAGTACCCCACACAAACAACAGCAGAGACAATAACCCCACACAAACAACAGTAGAGACAATAACCCCGCACAAACAACAGTAGAGACAATAACCCCACACAAACAACAGTAGAGACAATAACCCCGCACAAACAACAGTAGAGACAATAACCCCACACAAACAACAGTACCCCACACACAAACAGCAGAGACAATAACCCCACACAAACAACAGTAGGGACAATAACCCCACACAAACAACAGTAGAGACAATAACCCCACACAAACAACAGTAGAGACAATGACCCCACACAAACAACAGTAGAGACAATAACCCCACACAAACAACAGTAGAGACAATAACCCCACACACAAACAACAGTAGAGACAATAACCCCACACAAACAACAGTAGAGACAATAACCACACACAAACAACAGTAGAGACAATAACCACACACAAACAACAGTAGAGACAATAACCACACACAAACAACAGTAGAGACAATAACCCCACACACACAACAGTAGAGACAATAACCCCAAACAAACAACAACAGAGACAATAACCACACACAAACAACAACAGAGACAATAACCCCACACAAACAGCAGAGACAATAACCACACACAAACAACAGTAGAGACAATAACCACACACAAACAACAGCAGAGACAATAACCACACACAAACAACAGTAGAGACAATAACCACACACAAACAACAGTAGAGACACACAAACAACAGTAGAGACACCCCACACAAACAACAGCAGAGACAATAACCACACACAAACAACAGTAGAGAGATAAATAAACAACCACACACACACACAAAACAGAGACAATAACCCACACAAACAAACAGTAGAGACAATAACCACACACACACAAACAACAACAGTAGAGACAATAACCACACACAAACAACAGCAGAGACAATAACCACACACAAACAACAGTAGAGACAATAACCACACACAAACAACAGCAGAGACAATAACCACACACAAACAACAGCAGAGACAATAACCACACACAAACAACAGTAGAGACAATAACCACACACAAACAACAGCAGAGACAATACCCACACACAAACAACAGTAGAGACAATAACCCCACACAAACAACAGTCGAGACAATAACCCCACACAAACAACAGCAGAGACAATAACTCCACACAAACAACAGTAGAGACAATAACCACACACAAACAGTAGAGACAATAACCACACACAAACAACAGCAGAGACAATAACCACACACAAACAACAGTAGAGACAATAACCACACACAAACAGTAGAGACAATAACCACACACAAACAACAGCAGAGACAATAACCACACACAAACAGCAGTAGAGACAATAACTCCACACAAACAACAGCAGAGCCAATAACCACACATAAACAACAGCAGAGACAATAACTCCACACAAACAGCAGTAGAGACAATAACTTCACACAAACAACAGCAGAGACAATAACCACACACAAACAACAGCAGAGACAATAACTCCACACAAACAACAGCAGAGACAATAACCACACACAAACAACAGCAGAGACAATAACCACACACAAACAACAGCAGAGACAATAACTCCACACAAACAGCAGTAGAGACAATAACTTCACACAAACAACAGCAGAGACAATAACCACACACAAACAACAGCAGAGACAATAACTCCACACAAACAACAGCAGAGACAATAACCACACACAAACAACAGCAGAGACAATAACTCCACACAAACAGCAGTAGAGACAATAACTTCACACAAACAACAGCAGAGACAATAACCACACACAAACAACAGCAGAGACAATAACCCCACACAAACAACAGCAGAGACAATAACCACACACAAACAACAGCAGAGACAATAACCACACACAAACAACAGCAGAGACAATAACCACACACAAACAACAGCAGAGACAATAACCACACACAAACAACAGCAGAGACAATAACCACACACAAACAACAGCAGAGACAATAACCACACACAAACAACAGCAGAGACAATAACTCCACACAAACAGCAAAGACAATAACCACACACAAACAACAGTAGAGACAATAACCCTGCTCCAAAAAAATGTGTCAACAAAAAGTACAAATATTACTTCATCAAAAAGCCCCAACAAACAATTCAGAAAATTATTACAAGTCCTGACTAAAACGTACAAAAGTTATGCCATCAAAAAACTTCATCAAAACAGTATATTAATTAACTGACACAAATGCCATAACAAAGTGCAGAAAATTACCTCAATGAGGTTCTGCTTAAGCTTCTTTTCTGAGGAGCACAGAGCGACTACAACAGGCTCCAACCAGGTAGAGTGGAGAACATCCCTGTTGCTGTCCTCTTTCTGTTGTGCTGAACACATGGACAGCTCTTGCCGATGGGATGTAAACAATGCTGTGTACAGCTCGCTTGCCTGGCAGACATCAAAATATCAGGTTATGCTAAATACAGGATACATAAAAATTATATATATTGAAAATCTTACTGGTAATGACATGTTGCAGATCATCAATGAGGCCTGAAGCAGCATTAGAGTCCAGCAAAACTTACATAGTAGGATAAAGCTTGTTCCTGAAACACCAGGAGAATCAAGCAAGCCTTACATAGCAGGATAAAACTTGTTCCTGGAACACCAGGAGAATCCAGCAAGACTTACATAGCAGGATAAAGCTTGTTCCTGGAACACCAGGAGAGTCCAGCAAGACTTACATAGCAGGATAAAGCTTGTTCCTGGAACACCAGGAGAATCTCTGCAGGCAGCTCGGGTCTCCGCTCAATCATCACCTGAGCTCCGATGAGACGAACCACACAAGCGAGGGCTGTGAACTTCCCCCTGGAGGTCCAGCCCATGGAGAACAGGTGTGTTAGGATAAACTCCATGAACTCACCCAGACAGTCGCTACCGGCAACACCTGGCAAATAAACCAACATACTGAAGTGAAATTTCCATAAACAACATATTTAAACATATTCTGCTTTCAAGATGTCTATATTTGTTGTAGTGGAACATATAAGCAATGACTTACTAGACAATATAATCTAGGACTTACTGGAACATATAAGCAATACTAGACAATATAATCTAGGACTTACTGGAACATATAAGCAATACTAGACAATATAATCTAGGACTTACTGTAACATATAAGCAATACTAGGCAATATAATCTAGGACTTACTGGAAGATATAAGCAATGACCTACTAGACAATACAAATCTAGGACTTACTGGAACATATAAGCAATGATCTACTAGACAATATAAGCAATTACTTAATAATCAAAGCAATGTTTCCCCGTTGTAAATTTGAACAAAGAAGACACAAACAATAGACTGCACAATTTATTGCCTGGCATATTTCGCTGTATCTCATCAGGTGCATACTTCAGTAACAATTAATTAAAATGAAGCAAATAGCTGAATCCTAGAAACTGAAACACAAATTCGAGTAGATTTCAAACTGTTTTACCAAGGTAAACGTAGGGCAACGACCATTTCCTTTTGCCTACAAAGTTCCGGTTTCAATCTGCCAATCGCTGAAGCTTCCGCGTATCGAAGTAATCTACGGTTAGCCGAACTGTAAATAATTCGGAATGCATCATCCCTGTTAATGATGTGCCCGGAATTTAGAATATGGCACGCAATTGCTGATGATGGATTATTTCGACAAGTTACCTGATTCGTTGTTGTTGAGGTGTTAGTGTTCTGCATTGCTTTTACCAACCATAGTGGAATATGTTCAGCAACCCGTTGTTCCAGTCGTCGATCAGTTCTGCCCACATATGCAGCGTTACAGGTGCATTTAAATTGGTATATACAGTTAGATCTGGCGTACGTCGACACTGGTTCTTTTACTGGTGGTGTAGGAATCCTGGTGGTTTTAAATCTCATAACAGACATGGCTGCGTAAAAAGGTTTGACGGACTGCTGTTTTGAGTCGGTCATATATACGTTGCATGACGTCGTCTCCCCGAAACGTTAGATGTATATAGGCTAGTTTTTTTGGCACCGACATTTCTAAGGTAACTGGTTTAGGCGGCTGGCAATGGCACTTAATAAAGCCACCTGGATATCCATTAGAAAGCAGTGTTTGTTTAATCGTATCAAACTCAGCTTGTAGCGTGTCGATGGAACAAATCTTCCTAGCACGGTGGAATAATGTCCTCACTAGACCACGTTTGTATTGCAAAGGTGCAAAAACTGTTGAAATGGATGTATTGGCCCGTCCAAGTGTCTTTACGAAAAACTGACCTTTCAATAGTACCATCATCTCTACGTCTGATTAAAATGTCTAAAAAGGCCAAAGTGTTACTACTTTCATGTTGTAGGGACACAGTGATGTTTTTGTGCATTTGATTCATTTTGGTGTGAAACGACTCTGCCTGTTGTTTGTTAGTGGCGATGATAAATATGTCATCAACGTAACGTCGGTAAAATACTAAACTATCAATATCCAAAGACATCTGTTCCTCCAAGTGTGCCATAAAGATGTCCGCTAAAATAGGGCCTAGAGGGCTTCCCATGGCCACACCATCAATCTGGCGGTAAGACTGCTTTAGAAAACTGAAATTGATGTTCGAAGTGCACAACATTAAAAGTTCCTCAAGTTTTGAAATAGGTAAACCTACCTGCAGATGTTTATTTTCTATACGGTCACATATAATTTTCACGGTTTCTTCCAAGGGCACGTTTGTAAATAGTGATGTTACATCCATTGATGCCATGTATTTTTGATTTACATTCATTGTGTCCAGTATTTCTGCCAGTTCAAATGAATCTTTGAGTATTTTGGGCTCAAATGATTGTCGTACTGGTTTTAGTAATTCCGCTAGCCATTTAGCTAAACCATGTTGAGCTGAGTTTATCATTGACAGGATGGGCCTAAGGGGCATTCCAGGTTTGTGTACTTTTGGAAGACCATACAACTGCGGTATTAGTGAGCCACACGGTGTGAGCATCTTAGCGGTAGCTTCGCTGATGAATTTTCCTGCCAAGAGTGATTTGATTACTTTCTTCATTTTCGCTTCCATGTTATTAACGTAATTTACTTTGGAATCCAGCAGAAATTTTGATTGATCAGATAATATTTCTTCCATTTTGGTTTGATAGTTTGACTTGTCCATCAGAACTACACCATTTCCTTTGTCTGGTTTCAGTATTATTAATTGTTCGTTGGCTTTTAATGTTTTCAGAGCAATAATATGCTCTTTAGATAATGGACACTTTTGCTTAGACTGGGATGTGCGGTACTGATGTTCCAAATCCACCAGTTTCTAGGATTCAGCTATTTGCTTCATTTTAATTAATTGTTACTGAAGTATGCACCTGATGAGATACAGCGAAATATGCCAGGCAATAAATTGTGCAGTCTATTGTTTGTGTCTTCTTTGTTCAAAATTACTTAATAGACAATCTAATCTAGAACTTACTGGAACACACAATCTAGGACTTACTTGAAGTTAAAAGTGAATGGATCTTTAGAATGTTCTCAAACCCAGACTTGGAACTTTGCCGAACAACCTGATTGATTGGTTGATTAAAGAGATTTTCCATAATTAAATATCCAAGGCAGACATGTAATATAAATCACAATAAAGATGTATGGAATGCAGACACTTCTGGTCTGGACTTCTACTGCTTCTTCTTGCAACTACTGTCTTTGGCAATTACATCATCATGAATGGTTCCGGCTGAGTGCCAGAGATCAGGATTTAAAGGAAAAGCATGCAATTCATTGGACAGTCGAAGTGAGTTTTCAAAATGTTTTGAGGCTATGACCTGAATACTTTTTCATCAGGAAGGGGGGGGGAGAGGCGCTGGGGATTTCCCATTCTCATGATCTCATAATTTACAAGTGCACATGTGCTACTTGTTTGCTACAGTGCACATTTCTCTGATCTTTGTCAGACAAATAATTTGTGTACCCCAACAAAAGTTTTTTTTTTTTTTAAACTAACAGTAAGTGACACAGATCATATAAATCTTATAAGATAATCAACGCGCATTATGGCAATACATGATGTATCCACTACACTTTTCAAAAAAAGCATGTGATAGTTTCTTGTATGGATTACTCCAAAATGAGTGCAGTTTGATGTTTTGCAAACTTCCCCTCAAGCCATTTGCTGTAAACATGCTAACTGTATTCTTTGAATCAGTGGGGGGGGGGGGGGGGGGGGGGGGGGGGGGTGGGGGGGGGGGGGGGGGGGGGGGGGGTCCCCCATTTGCAACAAATAAGGCAACAACAATAAAACTAGATGTGTGCATTATAATTAGTTTCCTACAAGGACATGACTCCTAACAGGCTGCATGCCAAATTTCAACAAGTTAACAGCATGGTTACTGACAGATTGTTGGAATGGACTACACTACACCTCTTTAAATATTCATGGTCAAATTATACTACTTAAAAACAAAAACATAGCTACTGACAGGAACATAGTTTTATCATAATTTTGACAAGTGTAATTTTATGAGTGAAAAATTTCCCATCAACTAATAAAAACACAATATCGGATAACTGTGACTAGTTTCCCATCAACTAATAAAAACACAGTATGGGATAACTGTGATTAGTTTCCCATCAACTAATAAAAACACAACATCGGATAACTGTGATTAGTTTCCCATCAACTAAAAAAAACACAACATCGGATAACTGTGATTAGTTTCCCATCAACTAATAAAAACACAGTATGGGATAACTGTGATTAGTTTCCCATCAACTAATAAAAACACAATATTGGATAACTGTGATTCTTTTATATGCAGTAAATTCAGCTTTAAATATGCCAAATCCCCATTGGACGACAGAAATCTGGTTCAATATAACATGTTTAAATATGCCAAATCCCCATTGGCCGACAGAAATCTGGTTCAATATAACATGTTTAAATATGCCAAATCCCCATTGGCCGACAGAAATCTGGTTCAATATAACAAGTTTAAATATGCCAAATCCCCACTGGACGACAGAAATCTGGTTCAATATAACAAGTTTAAATATGCCAAATCCCCATTGGACGACAGAAATCTGGTTCAATATAACAAGTTTAAATATGCCAAATCCCCACTGGACGACAGAAATCGGGTTCAATATAACATGTTTAAATATGCCAAATCCCCATTGGACGACAGAAATCTGGTTCAATATAACAAGTTTAAATATGCCAAATCCCCATTGGACGACAGAAATCTGGTTCAATATAACAAGTTTAAATATGCCAAATCCTCATTGGACGACAGAAATCTGGTTCAATATAACAAGTTTAAATATGCCAAATTCCCACTGGACGACAGAAATCTGGTTCAATATAACAAGTTTAAATATGCCAAATCCCCATTGGACGACAGAAATCTGGTTCAATATAACAAGTTTAAATATGCCAAATCCCCACTGGACGACAGAAATCTGGTTCAATATAACATGTTTAAATATGCCAAATCCCCATTGGACGACAGAAATCTGGTTCAATATAACAAGTTTAAATATGCCAAATCCCCATTGGACGACAGAAATCTGGTTCAATATAACAAGTTTAAATATGCAAAATCCCCACTGGACGACAGAAATCTGGTTCAATATAACAAGTTTAAATATGCCAAATCCCCACTGGACGACAGAAATCTGGTTCAATATAACAAGTTTAAATATGCCAAATCCCCAGTGGACGACAGAAATCTGGTTCAATATAACAAGTTTAAATATGCCAAATCCCCATTGGACGACAGAAATCTGGTTCAATATAACAAGTTTAAATATGCCAAATCCCCATTGGACGACAGAAATCTGGTTCAATATAACATGTTTAAATATGCCAAATCCCCACTGGACGACAGAAATCTGGTTCAATATAACATGTTTAAATATGCCAAATCCCCACTGGCCGACAGAAATCTGGTTCAATATAACAAGTTTAAATATGCCAAATCCCCACTGGACGACAGAAATATGGTTCAATATAACAAGTTTAAATATGCCAAATCCCCATTGGCCGACAGAAATCTGGTTCAATATAACAAGTTTAAATATGCCAAATCCCCACTGGACGACAGAAATCTGGTTCAATATAACAAGTTTAAATATGCCAAATCCCCACTGGCTGACAGAAATCTGGTTCAATATAACAAGTTTAAATATGCCAAATCCCCACTGGCTGACAGAAATCTGGTTCAATATAACAAGTTTAAATATGCCAAATCCCCACTGGCTGACAGAAATCTGGTTCAATATAACAAGTTTAAATATGCCAAATCCCCACTGGACGACAGAAATCTGGTTCAATATAACAAGTTAAAATATGCCAAATCCCCACTGGCCGACAGAAATCTGGTTCAATATAACAAGTTTAAATATGCCAAATCCCCATTGGCCGACAGAAATCTGGTTCAATATAACATGTTTAAATATGTCAGAGCTAATGTCAGCAAGCACTACGTACATCCAGCTGGTCATCAGAATGTGTCCACACGTATTCGAGAAGCTTGTACAGAACGGAGGACTGTCCCAGACACTTAGAGGTCAACAGGGCAGAGCAAGGGGTAGCCTGTACTGTGTTCCTGTGGGACAACAATATGAAGGATATGGGTGGTTAGTTCCTGTGGGACAACAATGTGAAGGATATGGGTGGCTAGTTCCTGTGGGACAACAATGTGAAGGATATGGGTGGTTAGTTCCTGTGGGATATAAATGTGAAGGACATGGGTGGTTTGTTCCTGTGGGACAACAATGTGAAGGATATGGGTGGTTAGTTCCTGTGGGATATAAATGTGAAGGACATGGGTGGTTTGTTCCTGTGGGACAACAATGTGAAGGACATGGGTGGTTAGTTCCTGTGGGACATCAATGTCAAGGAAATGGGTGGTTAGTTCCTGCAACTTATGACAGACAAATGTGTTGAATGAGACTGTTATCAAATGACATGATCAAAATGAAACTGACTAAAGCAACAACAAAACTATCAATGGGATTTCTGTTTCTGTTAACCAATTCAGGCAATTCTTCTTTTTCTACAATTTTCCTTAAAAGGCGATTGGAACACTATGTTGTGGTTTACAGCTAGCTAGTGATATCTGCATTTTTTAGCATAAGTCTAATTTCAGCCAACCCTTAACTAGCCGCGTTCAATGACTTATTTGTTGAGGGGCAGTGAGTATATCCCCCCCCCCCCTCCTAGGGGCCCCAGAACCCATACTTTGTAACCAATTCTGATTTCTAAGGGGATTAACTGGAGAAACAAGTGAGAAGGACTATTTTCTCTTGATGCTCTCAAGTACTCTATAGTTGAGGCTGTGACTGTAACGTTTAACTGTGATAGACACACATCTTTGTCATAATAGGTTTGAACCCTACTTTTCCTCTGGAAGATTGCTCCTAAGCTACCCACTGCACCCACACCACATTCAGCCACTCATTCATACAGTCATATTCTCCACACCCACTCAGTTATTCCAGCATCCTACACATTCTCATTTTCCACTCACAAACTGAAAGTTCTAAATAAACACAAAAAATTTCCTAAATTCAGGGTTGTGGAGGTTAGATGCAAGCAAATCCTTCACCGCTAAACCGCGCTACACATGTACCTGTGTTCTACAGATGCAAGCAAATGCTTCACTGCTGAACCTCTCTCTACACATGTACCTGTGTTCTACAGATGCAAGCAAATCCTTCACTGCTGAACGTGCTACACATGTACCTGTGTTCTACAGATGCAAGCAAATGCTTCACTGCTGAACCTCTCTCTACACATGTACCTGTGTTCTACAGATGCAAGCAAATCCTTCACTGCTGAACCTCTCTCTACACATGTACCTGTGTTCTACAGATGCAAGCAAATCCTTCACCGCTAAACCGCGCTACACATGTACCTGTGTTCTACAGATGCAAGCAAATGCTTCACTGCTGAACCTCTCTCTACACATGTACCTGTGTTCTACAGATGCAAGCAAATCCTTCACTGCTGAACGTGCTACACATGTACCTGTGTTCTACAGATGCAAGCAAATGCTTCACTGCTGAACCTCTCTCTACACATGTACCTGTGTTCTACAGATGCAAGCAAATCCTTCACTGCTGAACCTCTCTCTACACATGTACCTGTGTTCTACAGATGCAAGCAAATCCTTCACTGCTGAACGTGCTACACATGTACCTGTGTTCTACAGATGCAAGCAAATCCTTCACTGCTAAACCGTGCTACACATGTACCTGTGTTCTACAGATGCAAGCTAAATCCTCCTCACTGAACAGCTATACATCTGGTAATCTGGTAATTTTAATTTCAGCTTCATAGCAAACGGATCACCCCATTTTTGCTCCGCTCCTGTGCCAACGAAAAACACACATAATGTTTATCACAGCCACTTGTGGAAAGACTGACAAACTCCTCTCTCAGCAAATCTAACATACACTCGCATTAAAAGCATATGGTAGCCATCCGAAGTGCTAACACAAACAGTCCGACATAAGAAATGCAGTTCCTCATTGATGGTAGCAGAAGTCATTAAAAGATCAGCAGTTGCACACACGATCAATTTTAATCAAATAATGGCCCCACCAATATTGCGACAACTGGCATTGCGCCATTTTCTGAATTTACAAATCACACCACCACGTTGGTCAGTCGAAAAACATTCCAAATGAAATCCACAGCTCACAGTGTCATGCCATGCACTCAACTCAGAGGCTGGGCAGCGAAACTATATACTTCCAGTCTACAAATGGAGCAACAATGCAATGGCCACCGTCTGGCAGAAGCGAAAACTTCTGCTTTGGCTCAAAACAGTGGCCGTGTCAAGCGTCCATTTTGACCTGAAGCATTATGTGAGGTTTAATAAACTGTCACCCCAGCAGTACCCTACTATTAGCTGGGGAAGGGATTTAGGACATTACATCTACCAGCAAGCGTCGCCCCAACAACGACCTGGTTGCCTTTGTTAATGACTGTTTACCCAACAGCCATGCAGTTCTTTGGCACGAAGGAGACACCCTGAACTTGGGTTTCGGACTGCCGACTCCCTACACGAAGATATATGTGTGCTACTGGTGTCCTGTAGCCAAAATACTATGTCACGGTATTACTAAAATTCATCATGCATTCTCAAACGCGCAGTAGTTAAAAAAAAAAAACACACACACACACATACATACACTCATTACCTGCCACCCGCTTGCTTGCTGGTGCAGCACACATGACTACATATTTATATAAGTATATATATATATATATATATATACATATATATATATATATATACATATACAAATATATCGGGAGAGGGAGAGAGTGAGACAAGAGAAGAATCATGCTGAATGATCACAAATATTTAAGACACTGACACAGGGAATTCCCTATGCACACAAGGTCAGCATGACAGCTACACATGCACCTGTATTCTACAGATGAAAGCTAATCCTTCACCCCTAAACCGCTGCACATGTACCTATGTTCTACAGATGCAAGCTAATCCTTCCTCATTGAACAGCTACACATGCACCTGTGTTCTACAGACGTTAAATGAACAAGAGGAGGAAGATAAATGAAAAAGACTAGACTTTACTGTTGTAGACAGTACCACATCTGGTACAGAGATTGTTAGCAATTGCTGTGTACACATTTGATATCCTAATTCCCCTCTCTCTCTCTTGGACACAAATATACACACACACAATGACAAATATGGTGCTATACTTGTTGTTGTGATGGAAGGAAATAGCTATACTTACAAAAGTTTGGATGTCCATAAATGAACTGTTTTCCCGAAAAGGGCTTTGCTCATGGTGTCAACACATCTGCAAACACAAATTAGTGTGAGTAACTTGAAGAGGAATAAAGGAAGGCCAAAAACACATGGAGAAAGGAGCTGGAGAATGAAGTTAGAAAGATGGGAAGGACATGGGCAGAGCTGCAAGCAATAGCAAACGACAGAATGACTTGGCGTGAGTAGGTTGAGGGCCTATGCTCCACTGGGGGCTAGAAAGGCAGAAGAAGAAGAAGAGAACTTGAATTTGTTTCATTCTCTCTCAAAGCCCATCAGTGATTCTACAATGCTATTTCACTCTATTCTGCACAGGCACCAGTTATTTGAATATTTGTAGTTTATTAGTATCTGCTTTTGCCATACTCCATGTTTCTGTAACACAAAGCAGTGTTTATTTGTTATTACTGTAACATTTGTTATTACTGTAACATTTGTTATTTTAGTACTGTTTCTAATTTCTTCTGATTTTCTCAGATTTCTAGTGAGATGAAATACTCCCCCCCCCCCCCCCCCCCCACCTGTTATATTCTAATTGTAATATCTCCCTCTGTATTTAAATTATTTGATATACCCCTTACTCACTCGAAACCTTGGAATGAGGTTTTGTAAAGGGAGATTGAGTTGGTGTTTGCTTTATTATCATCAACTTCTTTTTTATGAATATTTAGACTTGACTGTTCTTGTATGCTTGACTATTTTTCTTTTATCAGAGCAGATCAGTGTGGTGTCAGATGCTGATTGGTGTGGTGTCAGAGCAGATCAGTGTGGTCTCAGATGTTGATTGGTGTGGTGTCAGAGCAGATCAGTGTGGTCTCAGATGTTGATTGGTGTGGTGTCAGAGCAGATCAGTGTGGTCTCAGATGCTGATTGGTGTGGTGTCAGAGCAGATCAGTGTGGTCTCAGATGCTGATTGGTGTGGTGTCAGAGCAGATCAGTGTGGTGTCAGATGCTGATTGGTGTGGTGTCAGAGCAGATCAGTGTGGTGTCAGATGTTGATTGGTGTGGTGTCAGAGCAGATCAGTGTGGTGTCAGATCCTGATTGGTGTGGTGTCAGATCCTGATTGGTTTGGTGTCAGATCCTGATTGGTGTGGTGTCAGATGCTGATTGGTGTGGTGTCAGATCCTGATTGGTGTGGTGTCAGATCCTGATTGGTGTGGTGTCAGATCCTGATTGGTGTGGTGTCAGATCCTGATTGGTGTGGTGTCAGATCCTGATTGGTGTGGTGTCAGATCCTGATTGGTGTGGTGTCAGATCCTGATTGGTGTGGTGTCAGATCCTGAATTAAACACTCCCCTCACATCGAGCATATGGGAAAAACACCAATATTTTTGCAGACCAATCGGCACTCGGTGAGTGATGTGGTCAGCATTAGGCCGAGGGACAGATATGGTCAACCCAATCCCAGCATTGACTTATCATAAGAACTACTGCTCTAGGGACAGATATGGTCAACCCAATCCCAGCATCGACTTATCATGTTGTTCACTAGCTGATACTTGTCTACAACTGAGCAGACTGACATCCATCTCATCAGTAGACTGACATCCATCTCATCAGTAGACTGACATCCATCTCATCAGTAGACTGACATCCATCTCATCAGTAGACTGACATCCATCTCATCAGTGTGTCACAGGACAAGAGTTTTTAGCACCAGGGCATATTTTCAAACAACAGTGTTTCATCTGCAACAGGAAGGCGCAGCAATCACAGTCCATGACAACAACGAGTGTGACCAGCATAGACCACCTCACGTTAAGAAGAACAGCCTCCCTATAGGATAAGCCAGGGCAGAACTGAAGAGACCCTATTGTGAAAGCAAAACAAGATGCGAAAACAATACTCACCTTGTCCCATGATTCAACAAGCAAGGCAACAAGGAATCCAGGAAGAAGAAGCAGCCTGGTGGACTTTCCTGAACAAGGCTGCCAGAGCTGGCTGCAGCAATGTATCCAAACACCGTGGCTAGGTATGACAGGCTGGACATGGCTTCCAAACTAAGCAACTCCATCTGAGCTCTAGTCAGCCATGGTATTGGTGAACCACTGACGGTCGTCTCGGGAAAAACTATAGTTGGTATCTGCAAAAGCAAAACAGATTTATTAAAAGCAATCAGCGTATACTAAACAAACAAAAAACAATCATTATGATGTTCTGAACCAGTATCACAACAAATGAAAACCATTTTTAAGAAGAAGAAGAAAAAAAGGTGAGACAGCTTAGAAATATGCAATGAATTTATTTGTGTCATGGGTTACAGAAATAAGACAATGATGTAGGTGGCTGAGTGAAGTTTACAGAATTCAAGATGATAGTGTAGAATACTCTGTTGTTGTTGTTGTTAACTCACCACGCTCCAAAAATAAAACAATGATACAAAAGATAACTCAATGTGCTGAGGAGATCAGACAATGTAACACAAGATACCTCAATGTGCTGAGGAAATCAGACAATGAAACACAAGATACCACAATGTGCTGAGGAGATCAGACAATGAAACACAAGACAACTCAATGTGCTGAGGAAACCAGACAATGAAACACAAGATACCTCAATGTGCTAAGGAAATCAGACAATGTAACAAAAGATAACTCAATGTGCTCAGGAAATCAGACAATATAACACAAGATACCTCAATGTGCTGAGGAAATCAATGAAACACAAGATACCTCAATGTGCTGAGGAAATCAGACAATGTAACACAAGATACCTCAATGTGCTAAGGAAATCAGACAATGTAACAAAAGATAACTCAATGTGCTCAGGAAATCAATGTAACACAAGATACCTCAATGTGCTGAGGAAATCAGACAATGAAACACAAGACAACTCAATGTGCTGAGGAGATCAGACAAGGATACACAAGATACCTCAATGTGCTGAGGAAATCAGACAATGTAACAAAAGATACCTCAATCTGCTGAGGAAATCAGACAAGGATACACAAGATAACTCAATGTGCTGAGGAAATCAGACAATGTAACAAAAGATAACTCAATGTGCTGAGGAAATCAGACAAGGATACACAAGATAACTCAATGTGCTGAGGAAATCAGACAAGGATACACAAGATAACTCAATGTGCTGAGGAAATCAGACAAGGATACACAAGATAACTCAATGTGCTGAGGAAATCAGACAAGGATACACAAGATAACTCAATGTGGCTGAGGAAATCAGACAAGGATACACAAGATAACTCAATGTGCTGAGGTCTGAACAGAATCAGACAAGGATACACAAGATAACTCAATGTGCTGAGGAAATCAGACATTGTACGAAAAAGATAACTCAATGTGCTGAGGAAATCAGACAAGGATACACAAGATAACTCAATGTGCTGAGGAAATCAGACAAGGATACACAAGATAACTCAATGTGCTGAGGAAATCAGACAAGGATACACAAGACAACTCAATGTGCTGAGGAGATCAGACAAGGATACACAAGATACCTCAATGTGCTGAGGAAATCAGACAATGTAACAAAAGATACCTCAATCTGCTGAGGAAATCAGACAAGGATACACAAGATAACTCAATGTGCTGAGGAAATCAGACAATGTAACAAAAGATAACTCAATGTGCTGAGGAAATCAGACAAAGATACACAAGATACCTCAATGTGCTGAGGAAATCAGACAATGATACAAAAGACAACTCAATGTGCTGAGGAAATCAGACAAGGATACACAAGATAACTCAATGTGCTGAGGAAATCAGATGAAGGATACACAAGATAACTCAATGTGCTGAGGAAATCAGACAATGTAACAAAAGATAATTCAATGTGCTGAGGAAATCAGACAATATACTTGTACTCCCTGTGTGGATGCCAGTACCTCCTGTGAAGCTGCCAGTATCCCCTTTTGAAGGTTGAAGAAGAATAGACCAACTGGCAAGTACCACGTAAAAGGTGACTAGTTAAGGATTTGTTGAACCTGGATGTGTTGAGCTGTAAACCATAAAACAACTTACCAGCTGTTTTGGTCTGGCAGACCCCAGACAAGTTTTATATACAGCAGTATCTGCTCCATAAATTCTCAATTTGTATACAGAATAGAAAAACACAATAAAACCCTGGTCACCTTTTCGGCGGCCTCCCCATCGGTCAATGGTAGCTGGAGCAAGATGAAGGCATTCATAGCACAACAACATCTGCAGTCCAGGAGAAACATTTCTGTGAGGAAGTAACAGTAAAAACAATGAAACTCATGACACAGGAGAAACATTTCTGTGAGGAAGTAACAGTAAAAACAATGAAACTCATGACACAGGAGAAACATTTCTGTGAGGAAGTAACAGTAAAAACAATGAAACTCATGACACAGGAGAAACATTTCTGTGAGGAAGTAACAGTAAAAACAATGAAACTCATGACACAGGAGAAACATTTCTGTGAGGAAGTAACAGTAAAAACAATGAAACTCATGACACAGGAGAAACATTTCTGTGAGGAAGTAACAGTAAAAACAATGAAACTCATGACACAGGAGAAACATTTCTGTGAGGAAGTAACAGTAAAAACAATGAAACTCATGACACAGGAGAAACATTTCTTGAGGAAGTGTGAGGAAAGTAACAGTAACAAAAACAATGAAACTCATGACACAGGAGAAACATTTCTGTGAGGAAGTAACAGTAAAAACAATGAAACTCATGACACAGGAGAAACATTTCTGTGAGGAAGTAACAGTAAAAACAATGAAACTCATGACACAGGAGAAACATTTCTGTGAGGAAGTAACAGTAAAAAACAATGAAACTCATGACACAGGAGAAACATTTCTGTGAGGAAGTAACAGTAAAAACAATGAAACTCATGACACAGGAGAAACATTTCTGTGAGGAAGTAAAAAACAGTAAAAACAATGAAACTCATGACACAGGAGAAACATTTCTGTGAGGAAGTAACAGTAAAAACAATGAAACTCATGACACAGGAGAAACATTTCTGTGAGGAAGTAACAGTAAAAACAATGAAACTCATGACACAGGAGAAACATTTCTGTGAGGAAGTAACAGTAAAAACAATGAAACTCATGACACAGGAGAAACATTTCTGTGAGGAAGTAACAGTAAAAACAATGAAACTCATGACACAGGAGAAACATTTCTGTGAGGAAGTAACAGTAAAAACAATGAAACTCATGACACAGGAGAAACATTTCTGTGAGGAAGTAACAGTAAAAACAATGAAACTCATGACACAGGAGAAACATTTCTGTGAGGAAGTAACAGTAAAAACAATGAAACTCATGACACAGGAGAAACATTTCTGTGAGGAAGTAACAGTAAAAACAATGAAACTCATGACACAGGAGAAACATTTCTGTGAGGAAGTAACAGTAAAAACAATGAAACTCATGACACAGGAGAAACATTTCTGTGAGGAAGTAACAGTAAAAACAATGAAACTCATGACACAGGAGAAACATTTCTGTGAGGAAGTAACAGTAAAAACAATGAAACTCATGACACAGGAGAAACATTTCTGTGAGGAAGTAACAGTAAAAACAATGAAACTCATGACACAGGAGAAACATTTCTGTGAGGAAGTAACATAAAAACAATGAAACTCATGACACAGGAGAAACATTTCTGTGAGGAAGTAACACTCATGACAAAAAACAATGAAACTCATGACACAGGAGAAACATTTCTGTGAGGAAGTAACAGTAAAAACAATGAAACTCATGACACAGGAGAAACATTTCTGTGAGGAAGTAACAGTAAAAACAATGAAACTCATGACACAGGAGAAACATTTCTGTGAGGAAGTAACAGTAAAAACAATGAAACTCATGTCACAGATAACATTTAAAATGTTTTAGCATGCTTTGCTGCTTACAGATAAATTATAGTGCTACACTAAACCTATACTGTCACGTTTGTGCGAACCATGGACAATAAGTACACAGAGAAACAAATATGCACCAAAAATGTGATTTATGAAGACAACGCTAATACAAAGAACTGTGGGGAAAAACAAATTTGGGAGTCCTTTGCATCAGCTGACAACCGCACATTTAATAGACACATCCCCATGTGGACAGCACCATCCTTTGGCAATGTTATAATGAGTGGCTGTGGAAAAACTGAATGACCATTGACATTTCTGATGGACAGTTGCAAGCGCAGAAAGATGGAGATAAATATATGGCTGGTTTGGCATTATAACATAATCTTTTCCTGACAAGAAAACTAACTGACCTACAATTCATACAAGATGGTAAAACTACACAAAGCTTGAAAAGTATTTCTACTTTTACCTTTTCGATATTCATTTGTTTTTTCTCATCCACCATTTCTAACAAATCTAACAATCAGTTACCTGCAGCTTACCGAAGATGTGAAGGTTTATCTAAACAACAAAACAAAGTAACAAATTCTTGTAATGATAAATTTATTTTTTATTTTCATAAACCAAGACACAGAGAATTTACCATTATGCAGAATGCTCAAGTTCAAATCCATGATGGATGTCAATAGTTGTGTGTCGGCCATAATCTGATTGGTGAGATCTGCATGCCCCGCGACTATCTTCTGCAACACTAAGCTCAGCGTCTGCACACTCACATGGCAGTGATGCATCAATTCGTTGAGATGAACTGGGGGCGCATCAGCACTGAACAGTAAGGAAGGTTAAAAAAATTTATGTGAATATGACAATTACTAGACTATAAAAACAGACTTGTGACACAGCTGGGCAAATATCATATTCCTCAGCTTTAAGACTATACTCAGTACTTTCAGCATTTCATTTTGCCAGGTTCCATACCAACTGCAGACAATTTGACTTTCATTGGTTTCAACAGTGGTACCAACAGCTGACGGTTCAGTAAGCAATGGCAAACTAGTAGATGTAAAATATGCCTATAAAAAAAATATGCCAAACAATGCTGGGGTTGGTTCTGCGACATCCTGTCAAGGATACGCAAGTAACCAACTAACTGAACAGTTCATCATCAATATTTGTTTAATTTTTTATGACAGATTAAGTGAAAATAATGTGCAGCTGGATACAAACATTACAAAGACAAACATTACTTTACACTGATTCAAGACTGAAGATAAAGGTCAGAGTTCAGAAACAACATCATAGCGCTCAGGGAATTTCCATAAACACTCTCTCACATTGACAAAGTGTTCGTATAAATACTTACCGAACTCGAGACAAGAAATGTTCTTCAGCTTTTGCTAAAAACCTGATAACTGGAACACACAAAATACATACATTATGGCTTCATTTCTTCATTGTATGTATAGTATGTGTGTGTGAGTGAGTGAGAGAGAGAGATGCACAGAAACCAAGAGATATGGAGATTAAAATGTAAATGTAACATTTGATAAAGTAACTTTTTCTGGCTTGTAAGCTTGCACTGATCTTGTCAGAGGACTCACAGCTCACACATAGGCAGGTTAAACAATGTAAATGATGCTCAGTAATTTCAGTCACAGGTATGAGGATAAGTGAAGGCGGTAAGTGTATAAGGAGACACCAGGTACCCTACTTCAAGCAACAACAGGCTTTGTGCTGTTTTTGAGGATTCTCAAGAAAATCTACCGCCACAAATCTGCGTCCTGTGCTTCAGATAATGGGTGTATTTAGCCTAAACCGAGCTGGCATGGGATCTCAAAATTGTGGCCCCCAGAGATGCATTGCCTAGAAGACCTCTAGAACTTATCAGACCATCCCCCCCTCTTTGCATGGGTGCTGAGCTATATGGGAAAACCCATTTGGAACATGCGTGAAATCCACTGGCCCAGTACCTTCCTAAAGGGCCAGGTTCAAACATCTATCACGTAAATATCCTATTACATGTTTCGGTTCAAATGTCTGTCGACTGAGACTCCTACAGTATGTCTGCTTAGGTTTAAATGTCCGTCCATCGAGTGTCCAACCATGTGATCGCAATGGTTCAGATGTTCCTCGCTCGAAGATCACACTTTATGGCGCAAAAGCTTAAAATGGCCGCTACCAATGACTATACTTGTCAAAGTGTAATGACCTTAACGTTGTATTCTATTACCAACTGAATGAATAAAATTACCGACATACTATTAGCATCTATGTAGCATACTGCAGACCCTCATCCAGACTTTGAATGTAACAATGGTACTCACCTTCCACCGCTACCAAAGCTATACAATGCTCTCCTGTGAAAAACAAAACGTGCATTGGTTATATTTATAAAACATCAGATATGACATGTTTTATGTCCATCTGGATTAATTCAAGGAAAAACAAATCTCTACATGAAAATGCTTGTCTGACATCTGGTTCTCTAGGCTCTTCATTTCAGAAAAAAACACTCAGATAAACAGTTATATGAAGCTCTGTATGTCCCACATTCAGATTTTTTACCCGCCAACCTATCCTCAATGGCTACCACTACATCATCATCAAGTGCCTTGCCAACTGGCATAGGCAATCACGCTTCTCCACAATCTGCAATCCAACAGTGGGTATCAGTTCATGTGGTCACACCCCTTAATGGCATAACAAAAGAATCGTCTCACTTTGCCTTCCTCCATCTATTGGTCACAATATGTTCCAGTGTTACTTCTTCTCACAAGACGTCCACAAAATAACGACTGTCTTATTCTGGTGTTTGTGATTAGTCATCTTCGAGCACTCACTTTTTCAAAACATCTGGGTTCCATTTGTTGGCTTTCCTAGGAATTCTAAGAGCTCTTCTGTAAAACCAGATCTCTGAGGCCTCATGATATTGTTGTGCTTGTTTATGAATTGTCCAGGCTTCACAGCCGCATGTTAAAACTGGTTCTACATAACAAGCAACACTAAACTTGACATAACATGTGCAGGAAACGTGCTCATTCATGCTTGAACAAACCATGCATCGTCCAACTAACAATAGCTAGACAATTAGATTATGCCACTTTTTCTTTAGTTTGCCCTTTTCTATATGACTTATAGTTCGTGCAGCGAGTTCCAGAAACTTCTATCCATTTATTTATTGTAATAACGTGTCTACTATTCAAAGTGTTATTCATTCTTGTAAACAAATTCTTGGAGATGTGGACAACTGAGTTAACCATATGTATTAGTTTCTCTCTATTAAAAAAAATGGTTGAGAACATTCTATTTCTGGGCAGTTTTTGTTTTGTGTGTTCGTTGTTGCTCTCTAGACTGCTACAATTCCTCAGTGACAGATCTGTCTTTCCAGATAGTAGCTCACCATGATCAAAATACTGCAAGCAAAGGGCGCCAATCGAGGCCGCTATCAGACATCATCACACTCTGACACAGCGTAACCATGAAACAGGAAAAAACACAAGGGTCTGTTGGAACATACACAAAATAGCAGGTCATGACAAGAGAACATAACTATCCAACAGAAAAATCACAGCCCTGACATAGCCACTTGTTGCCATCTTGAAATTTATGTCCAGATATTTAAAAAGGTTCAAATGTTTGATTTTCACATTTTCTACAGCGCACTGAAATTGATGCTTTTTTAGAATTACTATACATTCAGTTTTTCTAACCTGAAATGGCAATCCTTTCTTGTTGCTCTCCTCCAGCACCTTGTCTAGAATTGTTTGCAGACAACTTTAGGTTTCTAATGTTAAAACTGTCATCTGGGTCATCATCATGTAACAGGTTCTTTGCAGAACGTCACTCTCATCACGGTCTGCCTGAAAGAAACTCGGTCTCTCGCCAGCTCTCCCGCCTCATGCACTTTTATACTCAAGGAGTCACTTATATCTTGTGCCCATCTTCGTCCTTCTGCTATAATTGTTTCCAATTCGTCGTGGTGCTTGATTTGACCAAAATATTTCAGCTTCCGAGACAGGATGCTGTTTATTAGCCAATCTTCCTTGATGTTCACATCTTTCAAGATGTAAGTATTTCTCCTCTTTTTCATTCAAGATATTCTGAGAATCTTTCTATAGCATTTCAGCTCAAAAGCCCCTATTCTCTTTCTTAAGGTCTGGAAGATAGTCCACGACTCACATCCGTATGAAGCTACAGGGAAGATGCATGCTCTCAAAATTCTAATTTTTATCTCCTTGCTGGTGCTTAACCATAGACTTTTAAGGATGTTCAATCTTTGCATTGCTATGGCCATTCTCCTTTTAATTTCTGTCAAACAGTCTCCATTGTTGTTTATTATAGAGCCTAGATATTCGAAGTGTGTGACATTTTTAATTTCTTCACCATTTATTGTTATTTTTGGGTGACAGCCAGTTTTATCTGTGGACATTATTTTTATTTTCTATAAATTCAAGAACAGATTTTGATCTTCAATGTGCTTTCGGACACACAATATTCAATTTTCTATTCCCTTTACGCTGTTCGAAAAGAGGACTGTGTCATTTGTGTAGGGAAGTTCCAAAATAGGGTTGCCACCAATTTTGAGCGGATCATAACTGTCACAAGTTTGGTCATTTTTGACATTTCTCATGATGTCATCTGGGTATCCAGCATAATACATGGAATTTAAGACATAATCATACCTAGTTTGAAATTCTCCATCAAAGCTGCAATGGTGTCAACCGTGTGTCGGGTCACAGCCAGGGAGACATCAACAGATGTATCAATGTACAGTCTTCGTGACAGCTGTTCACATATGCCTCTCTCAACATGCAGCTGTGACTCTTCTTCTAAATTCTGGAAAAAGCTGTTGAACAATAAAACAAACAGTGGAATGAAGAGATCAACTGGGGAAGAACCCCTTTTAAATGCCTTGAGATATATCCTCTGCCACACTTAGCCAAGTGTGAAACAGACTATAGTTAGTCCAGATTAGAATTCTAGCTGAAACAGACTATAGTTAGTCCAGATTAGAATTCTAGCTGAAACAGACTATAGTTAGTCCAGATTAGAATTCTAGCTGAAACAGACTATAGTTAGTCCAGATTAGAATTCACTAACACCCAAAGCTCATAAGGGCATGAACCCCATGCGGCAGTAGGAAAGCGTTAAACCCACGCCTGACTTCCCCAGCATAACAAACACTGTTGGTCAGTTATATATGACTTGACAAAAACAATTTGAGGTGCTTCTTTTAGTCTTTGTGTAGAGTGGTGCAGAAAACGTGTGAGACAACAGGCTGGAATCCAATTCTTGAGACCAGTATGGTTGTTCAAGAAGCAGCAGTATAGTCTAAGTCAAGAGCAAAGTGAGCTAGACACCAGAGACTACTGGATCTAGAGATAAGTTAGGAAGATATATTGAGTGTCCCTGTGAGGTCAAGAGTCTCGCAGGGATCAGAAGAGAAGCTTTGAGCCAACACAACACTCAATGACAAATGGATGCATTCACTGTGTAACAGAGCAAGCTTGTTTGTTGGAAGGCACAAAGTTATGATGTACTGATAATCAACAAGTTTTGGTAACCTTGACATTCCCTTTTCCAGAATCTTTTTTTCCCAACAAAACTAGCTGTTGACATCAAACTGAGGTTGTCTGGCCTTGGCCTTCTTTCCAAAAGTTTTGAAATGCATTTTTTGTCATCATGTAACCCAACCTTGTCGTACCAGTAAATACCTTGTTGTCGTGCCCTATCAAAGCAAACGCAATTATACTTGTTTTCTAGAAGGACAGCTGTCAATTTAACTACTGTAGTTGCGCAGAAAAAGATGATGACATCTGATGCAATCGAGATATAATTAGCAAATCCCACATGAGAACGTACATAGTAAACAAGTTGAGAGGTACTAGAATATTCTAGAAGCAGAAAGAGCGAGAAGAAAACAAATACCTAGCATTCCAGCATCCAAGTATAAATAACGAATAACAAAGCACATTAGCAATTCTTCAGTCCACAAGAGAGGTGAGGCCAGTCACATGGACTCTCAAGACAGCCTTCAGTGGTAGAGATGTTAGCTCAACACTAGAAGCCTTCAGTCGTTGAGACTCAGAGGAGGAGCGACTAGTCTCAATGATCCTCGATGCCAGCTCAACACTGGAAGGAGAGCAGCCATGAAGACAGTCACTGGAGAGCAGACATGAAACGAGACATCGAGCTACAGAGACGACACACAAGATACATGGATCCATGAGAACAGAGACATATTAGGAACACTATAGAGGAGTCCACGCTCAAGACATTAGTACCAAACAGCACTAGAAGCCAGGTGGCAGTTACAGACACTAGAATCAGTTAATAAAGTAACTAGAGATGAAGAACACAACGCGAACCTACGAGTATTTTAGCCATAGAGAGAACACAGCACTATTCAGAATATCATTGATGTATTTGTGACATTGCTGAAGTATCACAATAAAGCCAGTATAGACGAGAACTGTTGTTTCCAGCCATTTTATTATACAAGCATCAGAGTCACGTGAGAAGCATGCAGCTAGCAAGACATCATCATCATCATCGCCACTATCGACACGACCATCTTTATCCTCGTCTAATATTTTTCCAATCGACTCCTGTAGCAAACCTAAAGACGAACCTGGGTGTGACATCGACATATGCCACGAAGAACAGAGCTGTGCTACAACTGATCTAAGGTTCTGTAAGATAGGATGTGCTGACCAGATAAATAGCCACAGCGAGGAGCAAGAATTTGTGGATAGCACAATCAGTTTGACCCAATCCTGTACTCTTGACATAGACCTCAATCAACTGTTGGGCTGTCTTATGTGATATCTACATAGTTATGTGGTGCAATAGCAAAAGTTAAATAATAAAAGGTTCTATCATATTGGGAACACTGTGTACAGTACAGGTCAAAGGTCAACCCAGAATGGTATAGAAGAAGATCATAAAAGAAGAGAAGAAGGTAACAGAAGGCAAGACATAACATAAAACAAAACATAACAAAATACAAAACACAGAAAATGAGAAATAACAGAAGCGCAGACAAAAGATAAGACCATGTGACTATATTTAAACAAGTTCTAATTAACAGCGATTGGAACATCAGTATAAATCTAAGCCTAACATCAAGGCCAAAAATATTACAGGTTATGAGATGACCAACCTGGCAATGACACGTTTGGCTGGCAGCTTGGCAGGAATGTTCAAGTAGGCGGCCACCAGTGACTGTAAGATCTCTGTTTTCACATCTGAATCTCCACAGGATTGACAATCCTCCAACACCTAGATACAAGAACACAAATATGAAACAGTGTAGGCTTCCACAGGATGTTTTGAAATCTACTCGAATTTGTGTTTCAGTTTCTAGGATTCAGCTATTTGCTTCATTTTAATTAATTGTTACTGTAGTATGCACCTGACGAGATACAGCGAAATATGCCAGGCAATAAATTGTGCAGTCTATTGTTTGTGTCTTCTTTGTTCAAATTCCACAGGATTGACAATCCTCCAACACCCAGATACAAGAACACAAATATGAAACAGTGCAGGCTTCCACAGGATTGACAATCCTCCAACACCTAGATACAAGAACACAAATATGAAACAGTGTAGGCTTCCACAGGATTGACAATCCTCCAACACCTAGATACAAGAACACAAATATGAAACAGTGTAGGCTTCCACAGGATTGACAATCCTCCAACACCTAGAGATATAAAAACAATATGAAACAGTGTAGGCTTCCACAGGATTGACAATCCTTCAACACCTAGATACAAGAACACGAATATGAAACAGTGCAGGCTCCCCCAATTTTGGAGCCAGGATCAAAGTGTCAACCTGGAATTCCTGTGATTCATCCATTCAGTTTTACTCAGTTCTGACAAGCTTCCATTTCAGATATATGACACAAAAGTTATCAGTTGGGTTAAAAACTGACATAATTGAATTAAGGGCTTTTCCATACATGCTCCATTCCTATCTTCAGCAGCCAACACAGAGTCCTAGGTCCAATGATACCAAAAATATGTCACAGATGAGGCAGCCTTCCTGTTTTTAAAAGAAAAGTGGCTACACATACACCAGCATACAGATAAAGAAGGGATACACGTTGAGAACACCAAGTGACATCGGGCCACAAACACAAATATAGAAGGGATACACACTGAGAACAACAAGTGATGTCTGGCCAAAACACATACACCAGCATACAGATATAGAAAGGATACACGTTGAGAACACCAAGTGATATCTGGCCACAAACACAAACGCATACAGATATAGAAAGGATACACATTGAGAACAACAAGTGATGTCTGGCCAAAACACAAACATGAATGCATACAGATATAGAAAGGATACACATTGAGAACAACAAGTGATGTCTGGCTAAAACACAAACATGAATGCATACAGATATAGAAAGGATACACATTGAGAACAACAAGTGATGTCTGGCCAAAACACAAACATGAATGCATACAGATATAGAAAGGATACACATTGAGAACAACAAGTGATGTCTGGCTAAAACACAAACATGAATGCATACAGATATAGAAAGGATACACACTGAGAACAACAAGTGATATCTGGCTAAAACAATACAAACATGAATGCACACATCACAGACTATAAATAAAGTAAAGCAAAGGACCCTTTTTAGCGCCTTCTTGCGTACTGGGTATATAGGGCAAGACCTATATTTTATAGATCAACCCGCATTCAGTGGGTGAAGTGGTCAACATCACGCCAGGCCACCTTTACTTCCCAGGACTGTACCTGGTACCCATTAAGGGCTGGGTCGACCTGAGAGCCAAAGTCATTTTTGAAATAAAGTCCAGCTCTATCACTAACTGGACCCATGACCTTCCGATCTGCAGTGAACGTCCAGTCACTACACCGAGGCGGCTCTTAGTAAATAAAATAGTCCCTTTAATTTAAAAGTATGCAAGGACCCAGTTCTGTCTCTGAAGCTGTATTTGGCACACTTGTACGGACCAAACGGAATATCTGTACAGACCAACTGGCACTTAGTTGCTGATGTGTTTAATACCCTGCGAGCCACCTTGTCATCCCAGACCATTTCCTGGCACCCAAAAAAAAAGGCTCAATCAACATGGCAACACAGGTACATTTGAACAACCCATCTTGATAGACATTTAAACTTATGCCGGCCATGTAACAAGCAAGTGTGTTAGCCATTGTGTTATAGCAGCTTTTAAAGTATACGTGTGTTTCATAAAAGGCAAGTGGTTATAAAGGAGATTTTAAATAGACCAACTAAACAAGTAGTTATAAAGTAGGTTTTAAATAAATCAAACAGCAGAGTGGTTGTAAAGTAGGTTTAGATCAACTAAAAAAAAAGTGGTTATAAAGTAAGTTTTATATAGTAAACTGACAGGTTATCCGCACTGAAAATTGAGCCATTTAATCCATTAGTGCTGGGATCTCCATCTTAGTAAATCATGGAGCGTGTGGCGGCTGACAACCTGCTTTCAGTGTTGTTTCTTATTCTTCTTTGGCTTCCTGCATAGTCAGTGGGCTCTTGTCCGGCCACATCCCTTTTAATGTGTTCTTGCAGTCATAGTGGCAGATTCAATCATCACTTGGTTTTCGCAAACGTCATACTCCTCACAGAGCATTTAGACTATCAGCATGGTCATAGCTCGTCCGCCCACCACAGTAGCTTTACCTGCAAG